AATTATAGTCCCCCCCCCCCCCACTAAGGGTATAAAGACGTAAGTGTATATAGGTATGTCGATAAACTTGCCCACCCAAGTTATCCTAGTTTTAGGTGTAAATTAATACTTTTTTTTGTTAAAAGAAAATATGTATTATGTTCACGATACGAAACTCAAGTTTAATACAGACGGACAGGTGCAAACCGTTTTTAATTAATTTAAACCTATTTGCTTGTCCGTGCATTTACTACGAGTAGCTAGACGAACACTAAATCTAAAATACTCGTATATGTTTTTTAAAGAATTAAAACTGTACTAATTAGTTCAATTACTTGAAGTTTATGTACCTAGTTTGTAGCTTGTGGTAACTTATTTTAATATAACTACATATGGACATCATACTCACGGCGTTTATCGCCTATGGAGTAGACAGAGACGAATGAAACACCTACATTTTGCGAAATTTAATTTTAGTCCGACTTACGTCGCTTTTTTCTTGCTCCACGGGCTCGTTTTTTTTTTTCAATTAAACGATCATCTATACAAATAAATAAAATTGGAGTGTCTGTTTGTAATATTAAAATAACCGCTATTTACTAAATGCATATGTATGTTTACACGGTACAAATGCCAAAATAACATTTTTTTTTAATTTTGTCTGTCTGTCTGTCGTTTGTTCCGGGTAATCTCTGGAACGGCTGGACCGATTTCGACGGAACTTTCACTGGCAGATAGCGGATGACATAAGGAGTAACTTTTAGTACTTTTTTTAGACTTAATTCGCCCCGCGGCGTTGCCCGCGGTTATAACAACAAACGCGGGTAACACCGCGGGTCTCGGCTAGTATGGACTAAAAGGCTGACTGCACGGATGGCGTAGTGGTTAAAGCGGTCGCCACGCCGCTTACTACTACGCTAAGTGCTGTGGGTCCGATCCCTACATGGGACTACACTTTGTGCGATCCACAAATTGTTGTTCTGAGTCTGGGTGTTCTTTGTGTCCGTTTCATGTATGTTTGTAAAGTCCCCCGCGACACAGGATATACTTATTCCTTACGTGGGAGTTGTATATTTTATAAAAAGAAAGAAAGGAAAAAGACTTGTTCGTTCAGATTTTCTTTCCTTTTTTAAATTTTTGCTACGTTCATTTGTCAATATTTGGCATTTGGCAATATCTGAAATTAAAGGAATTCGACAAATCGAAATATAATTCGCACGAATTCGTTTGCCCGTTTCTTGTTTACATAGCTACACTGAGATAATCAAGTTGACATACATTTGGATTATATGTCATACATTCATTCACTTGCTCATTAGCGTGAGGCCACTTAGAAAACATGACACGGTCTACTCCCAAAAGCCACGGAATTCGCACTGTAATAATATTGTCCGTTTGGCCAACTGCCATCTCTCGGCACAACGAAATGCATAAATATTCAGGCAAACGTTTGATCAAAATTACTGTATATGATGTAATCTCAAATACCTGTTGGAGAGTTTCGAATTTCGAAAACATTTGTGAAAAGTTTCCTTTTTTTTATATTTGCTGACAAAGATGCATACATGCGGCTTTATTCCTGTTTCTATATAACTCCGATGAGCCTACCTATATTATGAACAGGAAATAATAATGCAACTTTTATAATATGTATAAGTTTTCAGCCTTAATGAGACGAAAACATTTTTTTTAAATAAAGGAAACAAAATAACATGGTTGTTGCACCTGGCCATTGGTAAAAAAGTTTCAAGGAACTCACACAAAATATGATAGCTATCCAGTTTATTAAATTTATGGGAACTTTATTATCCACTCATACAAATGGCTAAATCTGTTGTTATAACAATTTTGCCCATAAATTTTCATCCACCTTGAAGTGGTGATCAAGCACTTCTAGAGCGTAGACCTCCCACGCAACACTTTCGGGACTACGACCGCCATATTATTTCCGTGTACCATTCAAGGAAGATTCCAGATTGTTCTACACGTGTTACGTTCTTAACCGATTTTAATTAAAGAATTAGGTATTTATATTGTTTTTTTTTGTTACCTCTAGGGTACCATTCACATACGGTTGTCTGATCCCAAAGTAGTCAGAACCTGTACTATGGTAACCAGACTGATGATAAACATTACATATTTCGGATGGAAATGGTAATTTGGAATCGATTCCACAACTTCTGGCGTAGCAGTCATGTTCACTAATCACTAGACCAACAGGCCCGGGAAAATAAAACAATATATTGTATATCTTTCTTTAAATTTCTAAACAGTCTTCTATTAACCACTTCTTGAACGCAAGCTGCTCTCGTTTCAACAAGATATAACCTAAAAATATTTACACTTTCGTAACCTATATATTATTCTAGCAGTTTCAACAGTCATTTCTATTTATACAATAATTTCACGCAGGTTTCGTGATTCAGGAATCTTGCCGGTGACATTTATATTAAAACTTATAATCTTTGTCTTTCGAATTGTCAACAAAAAATAATGGGTCGGTATTTACGCACAATTTTTTTTTTGGTGTAGTTTTTTTTTTGGTGTATGTGTCATTGTAACCTAAGATTTTTAGTTCTATTGAACTAAAAATCTTAGGTTACAATGACACACACACAGCGGTTTTAATAATGATTAACATTTATTGTTGTCTTTTCGAGAAATAGTGAGTGTGCCAGTATTTGTCAAATCAAATCAAACTTTATTTGTTTAGAATGTAGGTAAAAAATACAAATTAGATGTTGTGTAAGTAAAGTAAGTTACTGGTTCATTCTGCCGTATGACATACAAATTTTAAAATAATTATTACGAAATATAATTAAGATAAAAGAAAAATTAAAGATAAAATTAGGATATAAAACCTTGTATGTTTATAAAATTATAATTAGAAATAATAAAATGGAAAATTATTTGTCAAAATAATTTAAAAAATGTCAAAAATGTAATTACAAAAAAATAAAATTAAAAATAATATAATAATTAAAATGCATCATTTAAGTAGTCTGTTAGGCAGTAATAACATTTTTCTACCAGGCAGTCAACTTATTTTGAAATTGTTGAAATGGCAAATTTTTCTGTGTCTGGTATTTTATTATATATTGTAGGCCCCATACACAATACGCAAGTGCAGTTTTGTATCCACCCGTCGATAGTGTATTGTGATTTCAAAGAAACATATCTAAACCTTCAGCCAAAATGACCTTGAGAAATAGGGGAATTAAAATATGAGATATGTACTTCAAATGCAGTTGCAGTGGATACAAGCAAAGGAGCATAGCTGTAGTATACCATAATTTCTCCACTAATATAAAACAGCTGAAGTTTTTTGTTTATTTATTTTGTTCTTGAACTATCAGTTAAATATATATGATTCTTATTGTATCAGATAGAGTATTTATTACATTATATATCTATACACTCACGCTTAAATTGCCGAAGGAGTAAACAGAGACGTACACACTTTAATTTTTGTCCCACTACGTAGTAGTAGGACCCATTACACACTTTCCAAACATGCAATGAGCAGGCTAATCTTATCCGAATCTACACCTTGCAGAACATAAATATGTCGGTAAATTTCGTGTATAACGGCGTCCTACATTAGCAATTTATACTCTAATTGTGGCGCCAAAAATGTTTATTAATTATCTGTTTTCATACATCATGGCCGACTTTCTCTAGGTCGTAACACTGTGAAAGTTTTGGCGCCAATTTTCAGGCGTACCATTTTTCTAATTAAGACTTAATAGTTTTTTTTTAATTCAAGATTTCAAACAGAACGCAAACAAGGCTTTTTTTGTCGTTATTGTTTTTATTTTTCTATGATTTAATGAGGATCAAAAACATAAAAAGCCTGCTATTTACGATTCTTGTAATTAGTGCGTGTAGTTATAAAATTAATTTTGTTTTTTTGTGCTTATTCTTAAATGCAACTGTTATAATGGCAATTAAAACGTGAATTACACTGTTTTTAATGTAAATAAATAACGTAAGCGCCTTAATTGCGTTCCTTAGCTAGCTGAACCTATTTTTTTTTTTTTTTAAGTTAGTGTGAGACGGAATAAGGTTTCTGGGAAAAGATAAATACATTCACGTCTATATTCCCGAAGTGATAGGCAGAGACGTCTTAAATGCTCATATTCTGCCACTATAATTCTAGTCCATGCAACCATATTGCCGTCAATCAAGCATTTTGGGGCTCCATCATCATCTCAGACGAACGACGTCCACTGCGGGACCTAGGCCTCTCCCTAAACTCTCCACAACAACTGGTCCTGTGCTGCCCGCATCCAACGGCTTCCCGCAACCTTCACCTTTTAGGGATTAGATGGAAAAATTTGACCACTGAAAGAAATGATAGAATAAGAAGGGACAGCAATAGTCTGCAACGGATATTACTTATACTGATGGTTTGGGGAGTGTAAACATGTACATGTATAAAATACTAGCTGACCCGCGCAACTTCGTCTGCGTCTCTCAATAGTAATAAATTTTCTCCGTTTTTGAAACATTCTTCATTGGTGCTCCGCTCCTATTGGTCTTAGCGTGATGATATATAGCCTATAGCCTTCCTCGATAAATGGGCTATCTAACACTGAAATAATTTTTCAAATCGGACCAGCAGTTCCTGAGATTAGCGCGTTCAAACGAACAAACTCTTCAGCTTTATAATATTAGTATAGATTATCGGACATCTGACGCACAACGCCATCTACTTTCAAACTAAGCAGAGCTTGTGCTATGAAAGCTAGATTGACTGACAGAATACTTAGATACTTTTTTTTGTAAATACATACATATTACACATAGAAAACAACCAAACTCCGAAACAAATATTTGCAGATCATACAAACATTTGGTACGACCCGACCACTGCATCACCGAGGCAAGCAGATCAGGATCATATGCCTGTAACTCAAACTGGTTGTAGTCGGAAAGTCAGAGCCCTCTACATAAGTCAAAAGTGTGGTAAATAAAACGTTGTCAAAATCCTTTCTAATCACGATATCTTTTTATTCAAGGTTGGACGCATACCTGCGGATCACCCGTTAGTGGGCGGGCACAAAGGGCCAGTGCTGGACATCGCGTGGTGTCCGCACAACGACAATGTCATCGCCAGCGGCTCCGAGGACTGCGTTGTTAAGGTAAGGCTTACGAGGTAGCTTTATTTATCTTTATTAAGAAAACCAACAGCATAACAATTTGTTTAACAATATAAGTATCCGTGTGGTGACGGATGAAGAATACAGAGTGTCACCACCCTATTCATCCCGTGGGTGTCGTAAGAGGCGACTAAGGGAGCAAACTACGCAGAACAACAGCACTGCAAAGAGAAGGAAAACTTGACATAAACCCTATACCAACCCGTCTGGCCAGCATGGTATAGTAGGCCAAAACCTCCTTGCCTATGTCCAGCAGTAGACTAGTAAAGGCTGTTAGTGTGCTAATAAATGACGTAAATGCATTATTTTGTAAAATTAATTCGTTAGCGTTTATTATTTGATGAGTATGTGGATTGAATCGATTCTGTACAACACGGTTATATTGTAAATTCCTTTGCCCTAAAGTTCAGTGTCATATTTCGGATCGACTTGCGTATACCCATATTGTGTAAGGTAATACTGTATCTAATGATCATCGGATACATTTACAGACATTCCACCTCATGTGAGTCAGCTTGGTACAAGCTGAGGTCACCTTTAAAAATACTTATGAAACATATAATATTTTCCATGGGAGAGTCACATTTTGGCACAAAAGGGTCCGGAATGGAAAAAAATTGGTGTTAAGCACGACGATTGCCCTATAATATACAAAAAAGTTACTAAGAATCTTCATTTTCTAAATGCAACTGTTTACTTAAAACCCATTCAATTTTTTTTTTTTGGGTTGACATTTCTGCTTACATATAAAGTTCAGACAAGACAGAAACGTGAATGAATAAAGATAAAACACCTATGTTCGGCTACTTCTTCCAAAAGCTAGAAGATAGTGAGCAGTACAGGCTACCTTGATTGTGCCTGATTCTCGAGAGGATTTATTTTGATCTAAGTACACCAGTGTCCAAAAGGGGGTCGGTACGGCAAATGCCCCTTCATGCCATGTGATGAGAAACACTTTGGGGTATGTTAGTACGCCCATGAGGTATTTACTCTGTTGACCCTCTTCTAAATCTCACATCATTTGCAAAGTGGTACCTAGGTTTATTTCTATTATTTATGTTATTAAGCATCGTACATCAGCGTATTAAGTATCCAGATGTCTGCCGTCTTAATTTTGGTCAACTGACCAGTTAAAACTAATAGTTATATATATATAGGATAATTAATAGAACATTCAGGGATGCCTAGAACTCAAATTGTTGACTGGAAGTCCCAACCTTCTGAGTTTAGTAGCAACACGACTAATGAATAACTATTCGATATCCAGGTGTGGCAGATTCCGGACGGTGGTCTGTCGCGCACCCTCACGGAACCAGTGGTGGATCTGGTGTACCACCAGCGGCGCGTGGGTCTTGTTCTGTGGCATCCCACCGCACAGAACGTACTGCTGACAGCTGGCTCGGACAATCAGGTCAGTTATTGTTAAAGTCATTGAATAAGCTCTAATACCATTGCACAACAATCTCGCAACTTATTAATCAAAGGATAAGTTGACACACACATACACATACACACACACGCACGCACGCGCACACACACACACACACACACACACACACACACACACAAAAACACACACGCGTGCGCAGTAATACACACCTAATTAACACAACTTTAATTATATTTTTAATCATTAATGCTAAAATTGTCTATTACTTTAGGCAAGACCTGCTACATAAAGATGTGCATGAAATCCACCAGATTGATAGAAAAAGACATAATTATGCATGCAAATGTTTTCATTGAATGGAAATCAAACCATCACACTCCTTAGTTGCTCCACAGCCAAGCAAAACAGGTCATCAATTGTATTGGACCATTAAAATACTTTTGTACAAAAGTTTTGGCTACGGGTTATTCCCATTTAAATTCCAAGAAAAGTTTTGACATAGGTGTTTAATTATTTCAATTAAGAACCATATTGAACACTTTGAATATATAAATTACCATATTTATTATTTTTTTGTCTATCAGTTTACTTAACTATCCTTTTTTTTTACTTACTAAGTGTAGTAAATATCTTAAAAAACTTTTTGTTTTTGTTTCAACGTTGGTTTTGTATCCACTTCAGATAGCAATATGGAACGTAGGGACAGGAGAAGTTCTGCTCAGCTTGGACTGCCATCCTGACCTCATCTACTCAGCGTGCTGGAACTGGACCGGTTCCAAACTCCTCACCACTTGCAGAGATAAGAAAATCAGGTAATCAATAATACGTCGTTTTATAATCACTAGGCACATTGTTTACAGGTAAAAAAACCATCCTTTACCATCTTAGACATCCTTGGTATAGACATTTATGGGAGAACTATAAATGAGAAGGCTTGACGGGAGTGATACGGCCATGGCTCACAGAACACCCTCCCTCTGATTCTGGGGGAAAGTACTAAAAGGGCGGCATCGCAGTTACGACTCTTGAGTTATAGGTATCCCGGATCGGCGGTAATCACTTATCATCAGATGACCCGGCTGTGCGTTTGCCCCTCCTCGGCAATAAAAAAAAAAGAATTACGTCACTGGAACCCCTTGTTAGATCGCTTGCGCTACGGCCGTGTTCACCCACACAACCTTAGGTTCCCTCTCGCACACTATGTGGAACTAACTACCTGTGAGGTTTTCCCGAGATTTCCCAAGGTTCAGCTTCTTCAATAAAACAAATATTATGTGAATTGGTTTTTTAAGTTAAGTTTTATAGTTTATCAAGTTTGTAAATATTTGTTATATTGTCACCAGGATCATCGACCCGCGTAAGGGTGAGGTAGAATCTGAAGCTATCGCTCACGAGGGAAGCAAAGCATCAAGAGCTATTTTCCTAAAACATGGACTTGTGTTCACCACTGGGTTAGTATGACTGCAACTGGTAGCTTCTTGCCCTTTGGAGGGACATAACACCGGTTCCTCGACAATCGAGGATTGGGTGTTATGTCTCTCCAAGGGGTTCTTCCGACCAGGCGATATGATCATGCCGGTTGGGCCCAACGGTTGATGTTCAGAAGTTGCATATATTAGTCGACGTGAGAATTTTCATATCGCGATACAGGATTAATATTTACTACATAGTTCGGTGTGTTTTCGTTAGATGGCGCTGAAGTATGTTTTTATTTGTTGTGAAGGAGCCACATCATTATTAACCTGGACTCGCTCCTGTAATGATTTCTCGTTTCTAATTTAGAAAATGACGAATATCAAAGCAACCGTTCGTCCCTTATTTTAACCCTATAGGGTTACATTTCCAGAAATCCCTTCTTAGTGGATGCATACAACATAAAAAGCGTCAGATTCAACATTTAAAGTTAAGGCTCTGCGTTGATGAATCAATCAGTTAGTTAAGGCAAGTAATTTAATAGGTGTAGATTAATTATCAATATTATTATACATTCAGGTTCAGTCGCATGTCAGAGCGCCAGTACACGCTGCGCACCCCGGACGCGCTGTCGGAGCCCATCATCACGGTGGAGATAGACACCAGCAATGGGGTCATGTTCCCCCTGTACGACCCCGACACCAACCTCATATACCTGTGCGGGAAAGGCGATTCCGTCATACGGTACTTTGAGGTTAGTTTGAATTTAGTAACAAATTACAAGGTTCTGAATATTGAAGTTACTCAGTTGTATTTTAACTTACTTCAAAGCAGGATGTCATACTTGTTTCTGTTTATTAACAGCCTTTAACAGTGCACTGTAGGACATAGGCCTCACATTAGAAAGGAGGTTTTGGCCTAATTATTATCTATTATACTTGTATTAATTTCCAGGTGACACCGGAGCCACCATTCGTTCATTACATCAACACCTTCCAAACACCAGACCCACAAAGAGGTAATCATTTTTTTATTTGACTGCACGGATGGTGGAGTGGTTTAGGCGGTAGCCATGCCGCTTACTACTACGCAGAGTGTTGTGGGTTCGATCCCCACATGGGACGACACTTTGTGTGATCCATAAATAGTTGTTCTGAGTCTGGGTGTTCTTTGTGTGCGTTTCATGTATGTTTGTAAAGTCTACCGCGACACAGGATATATTCCTAATGCAGAAGTTGTCATTAAAAAAAAGATCATTTTCTTTATATTATTGTGTGTGTTGAAATATGACTTTAAAGTCTACATAAACGACGATTTCAAACAATTTTAAAAAGTTTATGAAATAAAGAGAGTTTGATTTTTTGATTCGTCATCTTCAGGTATTGGCATGATGCCGAAACGAGGTTGCGACGTAGCCACGTGCGAGATAGCCAAGTTCTACAGGCTGAACAACTCTGGTTTGTGTCAGGTAAGATTGTCTGTTTACCCGTTATTCACTAGCACAGCCATTTCTGTAGATTAGCAGTTTGTCAATCGAAATTCCACCTTCATCATCATCATCATCATCAGCCTATCGCAGTCCACTGCTGAACATAGGCCTCTCCCATTGCACGCCACTTAGATCGATTTTGGGCTTCTCGCATCCAGCTCCTGCCAGCCATCTTGCGCAAATTGTCACTCCACCTGGCCTGTTAATTATTGAGGCATTATTGAATTGTTAGTACTTCTTTTAAGCAGATTCTAAATGATCTTAAACAACTTCTATTGATAATATTGGATAGATTTCTATTTTGACATTAAGTTATGGCTTAATTCAGCTACTATAATAGAAACGACAAACGAGCAAGGGGGCTAACGTGCAGACATACACCTGATGATAAGTGACAACTCCGTTCATGGACGACTGCAACTCAAGAGTCACCGAGTGTGTTTCTGGTCTTTCAGTACCCCTTCCCCCCAGTATCAGGGAGAGGAGGTCTTTGGGCTCCGGGAACGACAACGAACAACGATGAAATTGCTTAACACTGGTTTTTTGTGAGGCCGTGGTATAATATCAGGGACAACAAAAAGCAATAGATGTCCTTATAAGGTCTGAAGTCAACACCAAAATCATACGTTCCAGGTGGTATCAATGACAGTGCCGCGCAAGTCGGAGCTGTTCCAAGAAGACTTGTACCCTGACACCCTCAGCGATGAGGCTAGCCTCACCGCCGACGAGTGGCTCGCGGGAGAAGACGCGGAGCCCTGCACCATGTCGCTCAAGGTATTTTTTAGTTAGCATAAATGAAATGGTCAGTACCGTAGTTAAAATATTTGAGAATTTCTCATACTTAATTTAACTTGCAAAAATGAGTATGCATATTAGTTTCAATGACCCCACTCTAGAGACCCCATATGCATATACACTTTGACTTACAATGGCCCACCAGAGAACTATGCAAGAAAAATATATTTTCTGCCTTAGTAACCATAATTTGTGTAATTTATGCTCTATTACATAAGTGCCACTTGCCTTATTTGTATGAATAATTATAGAGCCACAAACATGATAATTATTTTCATAATTTTTTCGTTCGCTTGATCGAACATGACCAGGACAATTGTGTTTTCTGAGAATCTGAGAATATCAAAACATACAAGCGTGCAATATCAAAGATGGCGCTGCTGTTAACAGATCTCCGACGATCTAGGATACACAAATGGACACGAACGTCCACCTAAATGCAACGAGCTGCCTTATTCATCAACAGCCTGTTGCTGCAGTGCTGTTGTCCTGCGTAGTTTTCTCCCTTAGTCGGCTCTTACGACACCCACGGAATGAATAGGGGTGGTGACACTCGGTATTCTTAATCCGTCACCATACGGATATAGCTGCCATATTGACGATATAAAATAGTATAAAATAAATTATCACTTACTTCAGAAAATAGAACCACGATTTAATATTAAGTGTGTATAGGCATGTGTTTGTTTTAATGTTTTTTTTTTCTTTTATGCAATAATTTATGTGAAAGGTAAGTTATGCTTGTATTAATACAATTTATAAAATGAGTTTTGGTATTAAATAAATATACAAAAAATCCTTGACTCCAAAAATCTTTCAAAGATCTGGCTGGTGATATTCAAACGGCTAAACAAATTTTCTTAAAGCCTAGCTAAGAATCACCATGTCGGGTCACGTTTCAAGTGAAAACAAGACAAAAAATCGGTCCATCCGTTTACGAGTTGTGTTAGGAAGTTAAAAATGTTATTGTGTGTATGAATATGTATCACTTTCCTCTGTAGGTGTATTCATTTACTTCCCATTTTTATTTAAACGTAATTGAACTACCTAAAACTTGATACGATATGACTATGACGAAGGGGTCTACAATATTATTTCTCCTTAACCAAATTCTCTCTAGTTATAACAATTGATTTTTTTAAATATTTACACACCAGGGTTTATCAAATAATTTCTATATTTTGTTGTAATTGTTTGTTTTAAATATTGTTTAATTAATTTGTGATTGGAATGAAAAGTTTGAGAACCCCTGGTGTACACTTAACATCTGTCTTGAATGTGTCTGATGGCTGTTGCATCTCTTATAATAACCAAAAACCGTTTTAGCATTTCTATTTTGTTGTGTTGTGACTTTTTAACTACGATGTTTTAATCGGTTTTGCATTTTTATGTTGTGTACTAACAGTTTACGTATATACCTTAAATTCTGGGAATTTTTCTTAATTGTGATTTACAACCTCTTATTATATAGATGAAAAGGATTAAAATTTGATTGAAGTGATAACTTCTTATGGGAGGGTAAACCGCTTCGTAACGTAACGCGTTACGGCGCCAGTCTGTTTGGCTTCCCTTTCTCTCACGCATACGGCAGTGGTAGGCAGGCTCCTATCTCACTCTAATCCATAGGGCTAGCCGTATTTCGGATAGACGTTTTACATAAAATATAAGTAATAAACTAAGCTTTTCTCAAGTTAAACAATTTTAATATTAAATAGTTCAACTTAGATTAGTTTCAGTTATCACTTCTCTCGTGCGTTTCGAGACGCACACGTTTTTTAAATAGTCCAAAAACTAAGATAAAGCCATGAATATAATTACATTGTAGATTTAAATTGACTTGTTTTATGCGTGTTTTAGTAAATTTATGGTCATTAGGAATAATATCTCATCTCAGTCATGAGACTCACACTGATGAAAGGATATATATGACGGGCCTGTTGGTCTAGTGGTTAGTGACCCTGACTGCTAAGCCGGAGGTCGTGGGTTCAATTCCCACCCAGGACGAATAATTGTGTGATGAGCACGATCATTTGTTCTATGTCTGGGTGTAATTTATCTATATTACGAATGTATTTAGAAATATATAAGTACGTTTATCAGCAGTCTGGTTACCATAGTACAGGCTCCGCCTAGTTTAGAATCAGACGGTCGAGTGTGAGAAGTGTGAAATTGTTATTATTATTATCTATCTAATAGATATCTCGTATAATGTTCATACCGATCGGTGTTGTCGTGTATAGATTTATTTATCCTTCTACTAAAAGCTCTTCAATCTCGTGAAGTATCGCCCCCTAAACGATCCCCACGAGGGAGTCGATCGTCCCGTGCAGAAGCCAACCGCCACGTTGAAAACAGATGCTATAAGGTAGGGCCCCCCTAACCGAACTCCAGGAGCGCGCTTTGGTGGTACAGGGCGGGTACGTGTCGGGGCGCGCGGCGCAGCAGCTGCACGTGACGAAGAAGGCCAACGCGCTCGCCGGCGCCAAGGAGCGCGACAAGGACCGCTCGCCCACGCCCGCCGCCGGCACCCCCGCCTCCGCCACCCCGCCGCCCGCCTTCTCCGCCGCACTGGTCTGTACCGACGTTTACCTAACGACAACCTTACCTTTGTGATTCGTTATTGAAAAAACGTACTATTTAGTTCTATATTCACTGGTACCACTGGACTTTGTTCGCTTGGAATTTGAAAAGCGCTGCCATAGTGTGTCCACGACTGCAGTCCATTAGGGTTAGATTCCCTGACCGGGCAAAATTTTATAGAGTGAAAAACGCCTAAGTTACTCCCTATATAGACAGCTACCTGGTATTTTTTTCATCAAAATTGGTCCATCAGTTTTAAAGCTTACCCAGAACAAACAGACAGACAAAATATATTTAAACTGTTTTTTTGGTATACGTTTGTACAAACCGACACTTCAATTTTATTTATTTTTATAGATTCTTCAGCATATATTCAATACTCAATATTAACGTTGTTACAAATTATTATAGTCCATTATAGACCCTATTTAACACGGCACCGTGACAGAATGAATATACACATACATTATATGCATATATATATATTTATATGCAAAGGTTTTCTATTCGTCCTAATCATCAGAATCCGTAACTCCTCACACGTAACAAATGTTCGTTTAATTTATAATCGTAAATGAAAAATTTGCTATATACATCAACCGTACTGTCAGTTATTATTTTATAAAATAATATTTATTTCAAAATTGACGCTATTGGGGTTTCACCGTTTAGTAGTCGGGGTATAACCATATGGCTCGCCTTCACTCGATACATCCATCTACCCCATACTTGACTACTATATACAGGGAATATAAAGTAAATGTGCTGTAATGCTTACCAAGCTCTGAATAAAATCCTAAAATAAAATTATTTCAGGAGAAACAACTGTCGGATTTAGTCGATGAAATCCGCAAGTTAAAGTCGGTAATCGTCAAACAAGAGAACCGCATCCGCGCGCTCGAAGCAACCGTCAAAGCTCCGCCCTCTCCCTCGCCTGTCCCTGTGCCTCAGGCCTCCCCCGCGCCCTCATCCCCCGCCCTGGCGCCTAACCACCACGACGACGACGGCATGGCGCCCGATGAGGTCTGAGTCACAGGTGAAAAGGAGCTTTGTGGTCTACTGGTGGAGATTGCCGGTGCTGTAACTATAAGGCACGATATATTGTTTTGAATTAGATAAATATTGAATATTTTGTACAAAAACGTCAATAAAAGATGTATAATTAAGAAAAAATGAGATGTAAAAACTGTGAATTTATTACTCTTAAGAACAAATCTTCAAGCGATTCTTATTTATTATGTAACAAGTATGTACACACAGCCGAGTTCGTGATGATTTAATTGTTTTATATAATATTCTCGTGACAAGTTCACTGCTTTCTAATTTCTCATTCAATAAATAATTTATGTAAATCGACACCAGAATAACACCACAAAGCTGACGATCTACAGTCGATATTATATTTTATGACTGTTGTTACAGATTCCACTTTAGAAGTGAAATGTTACGGTTACATACTACCATCTGTGCATTAAACAGTTTAAAATATGTATCGATGAACATAATAGTGAAAAATCATTACATTTATTTAAATTAAGCTGACAATTTTTGTTATGAACGTAAAGATTTTTCATTGTACGAAATATACTGGCGTGTAGAAAATAGTTATAGATTTCATACAATTTTATTAAATATCCTGACCGGTCATTTTTGATTACCTTTATATGTCAAAAATGTCTAATATCCATTTTTCTACCTGCCAGTACATTTTATTTATTTATTTATATAAATAATGTTTGTAAATAGTAAGTTTAGACGAAGTGATAATATGCGAAATAAAATTATGTGCCTTATTTCATGTAGCTATATTGTTTACATAAAATGTTTGTACCTAGGACATCTCACTTTAAAGCTTTACCATGAAAGGGGTCAAGTTTACCAAAGCGGGGGTCAAGTTGACCCCATTACATATTTCATAATGACTGACTTTATGTGAAATTAGCGTGGATTTAAATAAGAAAAACAGCGATAGGTTTGTGTGAATTTACGTCTTTTGATCCCCTGATATAGTGTCATGGTTAACATAAAAATTGAAACGATTTTATAATATTTTGTGTTGTAAATGTAATGCGTGCCTTGACATATAACAAGTGTGATAGCCTAGGGATAATATTCAAACGAATTTCTCTCATCAAAAGCTTGGAGATTAGAAATAATTATCAACGTATTAAAAGAACTGGTATATTGAATTATTTAGCAACGTAAAATGAGATAATCCTTGAACAGTCAAAATGTGTAAATATCCTCCCTACCACGACACTCGCCAATACCTCGTACTATATATTACCAAGGGACTTCAGAAGTGTTTTATCGTTGCTCTCAACTGTTGAATAATAAAACCTCTGTAAATGTCTGTCTATATTAATTTCAGAGTAGTTATTTTTTAATGGAATAAAATGACTAAAACTTAATTTGAGACTATGACAATTTTTTTTTGTAGTTTATTTATATAGAAATACAAAAAAAATTGTCTTGGGAGAGCCATACTTCGGCACAATATCGGCCAGCTCGAGCAAAGTCACGGCCTCGCAGAAAACCGGTGTGAGTGAGGTAGAATGTGGCCAAAATTGTCGTCCCTACCACTAATTTCAAAGGGGCGCACACAAAAGACAGCGAGGCACATATGACTCCTTCCATCAGATGATCTGTGTGCTCGTTTTGCTCCCTATAGCATAAAAAATATTACTCTGTAATTATGTATATCTCTGAACGGTATTGGTTTGAATATTTATATACCTATTTTGAAATTAATATAGTCAGTTTGTAATAAATTAATAGGCAAATAAATTTGTAGGTTCAAATCAATTACTAGATATAAAATAGGCACACTTATTTGTCGTTTTAGTTGTAAGCTAATATTATTTATTGTGGTAACATGGTATATAAATATGTGGTCACACCAGCCAAAAATATAAAATACTGCAGTCACATTTTTAACAATTGATCTTGCATATATGATCTCAGACTTTGACAGCTTAATGCCCGATGACTTACAATACCAGCAATATGATACTAACCTAAATATTGAGCAACCGTGAGAGGCCCGGCCCAGCTTGGCTAGCTGGCCAGACCGAAGTGATACTATGGCCTCACAGAAAACCGGTGTTAAGCATTTCTTTAGTAGTTACCGGAGGTCCAAATCTCCTTCCCCTCCCTATTTCTGGGGTGGAGGAGGCACTAAAAAAGTGCCAACGAACTTGTGTCTCTTAGTTGGACGGCGATAGTCACTTAGGTGACCCATCTGCTCATTTGCCTCTATTATTAAAAAAACTAAACTAAATTGTATATTCTATGACATGTATATGACCACATATTAATATGTTTGATTGACCATTCAAGATCGTTCGAGTCCGTGAGTAATAAAAATATCGTAATCGTAAACCTATCTTTGAAATGTGAAAATTTGTGTGCATAAGGCTTTAATTTCAAGTTAGACACTTGAAATATAATTTGCTATTTGCGAACGTGACAACTTTAAGACCTCCGTATCATGCCAAATAGTTAGTTTTAATTTTGATATTGGAACAAATCAAATTTACATATTTTTTAAAGTTAAGTAATATTTCTAATGTCTAACTTGTCATTATTTCATAAGATAGGCTTAAGAGTCCAGTAACTTGGTGCTTTTGTATATCTTTTTATTTTTCAATTAATAAGGATAAGGCGCATTGCTTTTAAACAAATTGCTGGCTCAATGCATTATTAATAACTCTACTATTATTCTGCTCTAGTGTAAGTTTGCTGTTTTACTATTTCATCGTAAGATTTCGTTTTTAATTCTTGGCGCCAAATCCAACGCCATCTTGAATTTAACGTCAGCGCGTAGTGTCGCTTTTCTTTTTAGTGTTTTATTCTCAACAAAAATAATTAGTATTTTATAAATGGAATTGTCATAAGGACGCAAAAATTGAGAAGAAGTTTGGAGAATTAATTTCACATGATTGGATACATAATGGTCCTTCGCAGCTAGTCATGTCACTTATGAAATTTGACATTTGACAGGTTAGGTCGAGCTGTCACTTTGACAGTATTATAGTTTAAATTTTTAATAGTATTATTACGACGATTATAATTATTTTACTTATTATAATTTATGATGGCGTAAACTTAGATGTTCGATATTTAGTATCATGACAAGGCAATGTATGAATTTGTATGAGAAAAAAATATGCTTGGTTTTTTATTGTATGAATATATGTATAAATAATAGTTTCGTACACAGTTTTTCAACATGTATTGGCAATGATAATGTAATGACAATGTCAACATGATCTTAAACTTAGTATTTATGTAAAGTGTTCCTTCTTGTACGTGACGCTTTTTTGTATTTTTCACTTTTTGAGTTCTTAGCATTTTTAACCTATTGTGTATAAAAAAAAAAGCACTATATTAATGTACTTAGTGTAAATTATATAATCGACATTAAAGCTTGTTGTCCATCGGCGATGCTATTTGTGCTTACAGATGCAACTTTTTTTTCTAAAATAAAATATAAAAAAGATCTAAAAAACATAAAAAGTATAGCGCATTTGATGGACGCTCGCCATAATGTAAAGATTTCGACTGTTATTATTTTGACGTTAAATAATTTGTAATTGTGTTTTTTTTTCTATTTACCACCGCTTCAGACGCTTCCCTAATTAATGTTTCGTGTTTAATGTGAACTACAATACGTTTGTTAGAAAATAGTTTGATACATATAGCAAAAATTATTTCAAATGAATCACGAATTTCGTTTTTAAAGAAACTTATCACTACTGCGCGTTTAATAAAAAAATCTTAATTGACAGTTTTCGTATTTTAATGTTTCTTTTATATATGTGTGGATAACTTATCTAATAGGTTTTATATTAAAATAAAGTGTCCAAAATGTGCTAAAGAAAAAATTTCACTTTATTATTTATTTCTCACACTTAAGTACGTTCTAACAAACGCATAGTATATATTTATTGCAATATTCACGTTAATGTAAATATATTATCTACTCCTCTTTGACTAGAAAATGTGACAAACAGAAAACTGAAAATAGTAAAATATGACTAAACGCACAATTATAAACCTTAATACATTGTCTTAGAATGTATAAACATTGGATAGGAAGATATTGGATATTTATATGAAATTCGTAGTTTCGAGAAAACGTGTTATAATATAAAAGGTGCTAAATATATATTATCCACATTACAATGATTTCTTTTAAAGTAATTGTATGTTACCTTATGAACAGTTATTCTTATTACCTTAAGAAAAATAAATTGTCAACATTTGTAAATCAAAATAAGACGCTAATTATACGTCACTACGTACAATTAGCGTCTTATTTTCATTGTCAACACTTTGTAATTAAAGCAAAAGCTGCGGATTAACAAATATTATTATCACGTGTGTGGTCCCTTGTTGTATGGAGTCGGATTGTCACGTGGGGTCTTAGTGTCACGTGGGGTCTCATTGTCACATGGGGTCATCTATAATTAAAAGTCAAGCGAAACCTGTAAGATATTTACGTAATTACAGTGACAAAATTTTGTAAAAATAAATGTTATACATTTCTGTTGATAGTAATCATGTGATATCTCAAATCTGCAGCTATAGATTAAATAACATTTACTGTGAAATGGGGTATTGATATGTCGACGAGAGTATTCATAATAATGGGGTAGATGACTGATCAGTATATTTTTATTAAACGTCAAAACGATAAACGCTGTACTGTTTTGTACAAAATACTAAGGTGTGACGTCACAACTAGCAATTGTCAAATCATTCACTTATAATGTTCATAAATATTGGAAAAATGAAAGTATTTGATGATGAAGGACAATTGATGCTGTACTTTAATTATTATTATAGTTATTTTTTTGGCGATATAAATTATTGTTGACATAGGAGTCTACCCCATTATTATCCCCTAATAGAACTAAAAAAACAGCTCAATATTATTAATCCATTTTTATACAATCTAAGATTATTGCTCCACGGTGCTACGCAGAGTGCCAAATGCTTCATTATATAAAATTGTACACTACATATACAAGAAATTTGACAATATTGTATTAAATATAGGTGATAAGTGCCTTGTTGTGTTTTGATAAGTAATACTCAAATCATAAATGTTGCTACGAAAGTTGAACAGAATATATATATTTATTTTACTATTTTCATTGGTCGTATTATTTTATTAACGCCCCACAATTATTAATATTGGCCGAAGATTCACTAGCATTAATGTCGGTTTTAAAGGTATAGAGAGGTGACCAGGTGACCGTGTTCAGCGTACACGGTCACCGTGACGATATAATCGACTAATAAACACACTAGACCCTCAGGATGTTAGAGAAATTCTTCCGAAGACGATGACAGACGATATGGTGACTTTTATAATGGACCAGAAAAAAAACGATCTCGACAAAAACAAAACATCTTTTCACATAACGTTTTATTAGCATAATTCACGCTCTCACATGTCAGTATAACTAAATAAAAAAGGTTTATTTCATAAAAAGACATCACTTTTTTTTAAAAGGAACTAAACGAAACAAAACATGTTGATGTTACAAAAAATACTAGAAAGTCTTAGAAAGCTTTTAACCTTAAGAGCACCAGGCCAAGAGTCTTCATTTTATTCCCATTACAAGTACTAAGTACTCGAATAGTACTTGATCCATGTAAGAATTAACGTGAATTCTACAATTTAGGCAGTATTAACAAAAATAGGTAAGAACGAAGAAAATAATAGGGAGAGAACCACTAAAGCATACCTCAAGTCTTGGAGGGAAATAAAAACATACTTCAGTGCCATCTGCTGAAGACACACCGAACTACGGAGTAACTGCAAACTCTGTATCACGATATGAAAAGTTCTTAAGCTGATTAGTATTGATACAACTTCCAAACGTAAACCGTTGGGCCACGGCCCGCCAGGCTTGATCAAGACTTTATCAACAAAATTAAATAGTGGAATAAAATTTCAAGTGAGTTTGATTTCATAATGTATTTCAACGAATTCCACATCAATCCAGAGTATTAATTATATAAAGGCATGATTACCGTTGGAGGGACAAAGCACCCGTTCCTCCACTATGCCAATTTAAAAAAAAAAACGCAATAAATATAAAAAATAATTTTATTTACAATTTAGACATGAGTATGTTACGTTTCAAACTCCTTATCAAACTGGTCCTCAGTAATTTTCCTCTTTTTTAATTTCTTCATAAGCGCTATATCGGCAGCTAACTCGTTCAACTCTTCTTGTGTAACGGCTTTCCGTTTCTTCTTCTTACCTCCTTCTGTGCTATTCTGCGCTTTCCATTCTTTTCGTTTCTTCCTTTTTAATTTACGATCTTCTTTGTTCTGTTTAGCCTGCTCCCATGACTGCGTTTGCATCTTTAAAAAAATAAATTTTTGTATGTAATTTTTGCAGTATCTACTTATGTGTTGATTATTTGATTACTTTGAGTTGCAAAATATTAAAGCTTGACCAGAAACACCAAAACACCTGACCTAAATGTATAGGTAGGGGCAGGTCCCTTTTTTTAGAGCAACTGAATATAGTTTTTATACCACACCAACCAACAGTAACACAGACCACAAATTAGTCTGAAGTCTTTCATATTAGCGACAAAAAGCTGCCTCTAGGAAACAAACTATATTTTTGCCAAGTTTATGGTTTATTAAAAACTACTTTTTAATTGAAATTAATGTGTAAGCTGTATGACCTTAGATATCTTAAACAACTTTGAATAGTTTTCTTTATATTTACAACAACGAAAAGTTAACAAAAAAAAAATATTGTGCTGCCAACCTACATTTTTTTTTAAACCTTTCTAAGGAGACGCCTATATCCAGCAGTGGACTAGTAAAGGCTATATGGCGCATATTAACGGTAAACTGGTTTATATAATAATAGAAAGCTGGCAACACAAAAGTTCTTACTAAAAATAATTTCTCACCATTTTCTTTTTCTTCTTTGAAGGCCAAACCCCAGTCTTCTTATACTCCTCCAATTTCTGCAATCTACTCTTCTCTTTCTGCTTATCCTGATACGGTATACTATTGAAGTCTATCTCTTCTCCGGGCCCTACAAACTGGTCTTTATGTTGTTGTTTTATTTCCGGCATTAAGGGCAGTTTTAGGAGACCATAGCTGGTGGCTATATGACCTAGAGGAAGTTCTTTGAACTGTAACAGCAAGTTACACTCGTGTTTGGTGTACGCCCGCATATGGGATACGAATGCGCGTTGACCCTTATCTAATATGGACCTGTCTTTCTTTTGTTGTTCGTGAAGCATTGCAAGTACCTGTAAATTATAATATTTGACTTTAGTTCTTCTAAGCGGCTTTTTAATTACTATATAAAACAATAGTGGAAAGAAATAGCATAACTATGGGGGAAAATTAGTCAGGACAAAAAAAAATTGGCCTCCCAAAGTACCATCTAAAATTACTAAGTTTTTCAACAATAAACCACTGAAGTTCCACACCGATAGAACTATTAAGCTACCCGATACATGGCAAACGGTCTAATAAAAACTCGTGCTTCTGATCCCCACTAACCTTCTCTTTTAACTTGGGACTGATCTTGATCTCATCTTTGGAGTGCCGCCAATCCTTGAGCTCGACGAGCTGGTTGGTCCTGATGAAGGGCACGTAGGTGTCCTCGGTGGGCAGCAGCGGCAGCAGCGAGCAGCCCCGCGCCCCCCCCCCTGGCCGCGCGCCCCACGCGGTGCACCAGCGCCGCGGGGCTCGCCGGCGGCTCCCACTGCAGCACCCACTCCACCTCGGGGATGTCCATGCCTCTACAACCGGAAACTCACTTTCTATACATACGTACCCCTAAATACGAGTATACAACAAACTTTTTCTATTTTGCTTCTTAGACAAATTTGCTCAAGACTATAAGAAACAGGCTCAAGGTAGGAGGGAACTCTTCCAGTTAATCTCGTATTATATAATTGTGTTCATACAAGAGAATTAACGCGACCACCCCTGCTTGACCTCATCAACAAGTAGTCAGTTTCTGACCACGGTCAATGCAATCTGGTTAAAGTGTCAGACATTCAAAGGCATAAGTTTAAAGGAAAGGATCCATATGGTGATGGATTAAGAATACGGAGTGTCACCACACCTATTCTTCCCGTGCTTGTGTTCAGAGACTTTTGCTGCTATCTATACTGTAACAACGATTTGTTTAATATAAGTTAACTTAAGTGAAGTTTAAATTAACTAACCTTGACATTAAATCAGTACACAACAAAATTGTGTTGTCAGTAGCGCGAAACTTCTCCAAAACTTTAGACCTCTTCAATTTCATTTTCCCATGAATAGCAAATATTTTTATATCAGGCAAGAATACCGGTAACACGTCCGCCCAATAGTCGACGCACGCGCAGGTCGGTAGAAAGAACAACCCTTTTGCTATTTTTCTATTTCTTATAAAATTCAATAGAAATAAGAATTTGTCCTGTGGTTCCACAATGACGTAGTAATTCTCTAACAGTATTGGAGTACTGATGGTTGATTTCTCTTTAACGCTGACCACTATTGGGTTTCTTAAGCCAGCTCTGACTAAATCCTGCAGTTCTTTTGTCTGTGTAGCTGAGAAGAGCCCTGTGCGGCGCTGCCTTGGTAGGTATTGCAGAATGGTTGTCAGGGTCGTACTGAATCCTAAATCCAGAAGGCGGTCAGCCTCATCAAGAACTAAAATTTCCTGAAATAAACGTAAGATATTTTAAATACATTAGTAATGTTAGTTGTAACGGTGCATTTCGCACCATTACAGTAATTTGAACCTTAGTCTCGTTTTTGTTTTGTTAGGTTGAATTTTTTGTCGTTTCTGCGAGTGCCGATGGTCGAGGGGCGGACGAGAGTAATAATCGATGTTGTTCGCCCGCGATTAGTTAGTCGATTTAGTTTTTCTTGGCCTGGCAACATTTTTTTTTCCCGCTCTAAGCAGCGGCAGGCTTTTGCACTGGTATCACGTTGGCTTCACTTTTGGACCGGCCGCCGAGTGAAATGAAGCGAAGCAAGTTTTGTCATTTAATTTTTTAGTAATCCGTATTTAATTGTTATGGACGAGGGCCTATTTCCTCTTTAAATGTTCGGCCAACCTAGTTAGGACTCGAGCTATTGGTTCGAGTGATTATTTTTGTTGAAAAGGTAAGTTTTGTTCGGCCACGTGCTTCACGCTTGGCTTGGCGGAATTTGTGGTTTTAACTCTTTGTTTAATTGGTTACAGGAAATGCTTATAATGCTTATAATGCCGCTGCTTGATTTGTGAAACATTTTGGGACCCTGGTAAGTGAAATATGATTTCTTGTCAGAGTTATGATTCATCTTATGAGATAGGCTTTTAACCTATAATTTTTCCTTATTTGCAGATGAATCAGGGTTTTTGGTTTATATCTAAAGTTTTAATTATACTCTATTCTCCTTTTATACCTAAATTTCTTTACTTTCTTATTGGAATGTCATTGCGTGGCATTCGGTTTTTGTCTCTCGCCGGCCTAACCCCAAGAAATTGGTTTGCTGTGGAGCGCCAGAATGGTAGAAAAAGCTGCTTAGCTGTACGCCGTTGTCTGGAGCCTGGGAGTGCTGACCCGCCTCTTCCACCACGTGGGATCCGGAGTGAGAAGTTTCGGAGTTGGTTTGATTTCATTTCATTCGGACTGATGATCCAAGGTCATTGGTATGTGTTTTGTTATATTTTTCTTGGCGACGTGGCATTGAATACTGCAGGTCCCTAAGGGGTGTTATTTTTATTAGAGAGTAGGTCAATGCTATGTCTACCCTTAGAGTTTATTGTTTTGTCTATTAAGTCTTCATGCGACTTATTTAAAAGCCTATAAAGGTCAGTGGTATGTGTTTTGATATATTTTTCTTGGCGACGTGGCATTGAATACTGCAGGTCCCCAAGGGGTGTTATTTTTATTAGAGAGTAGGTCAATGCTATGTCTACCCTTAGAGTTTATTGTTTTGTCTATTAAGTCTTTATGCGACTTTGTTTAAAAAACCTATACAGGTCCCCAAAGGGGTTAATTTTAATTAAGGGAGTAGGGAATGCTACAACTACCCTTATACTCTTTTCTTTTTGGGTCTTCATGTGACTCTTTAAAATTTATTTAACCTTATATTTTTCTTATTGGAAAGGATTGCATTAATGACAGTACTAATTTGTGTATAAGAATTACCTAATGTAATTAGAGACATAAGACACATTGTACTCTACAGACACTACGGGATAATAAACTGCCATTAGAACTTAACATCTTGTATTCATTAGCTGCCTCCCGCCATGGGTTAAAAAGGTTCAACGCTGGCTGAGATGTCCGAGGTATTTGTTGTGTTTGTGGTGGGTTCTGTGTTCTTTTAAGGTGGTATCTGGCGCCCGAGACTTTTATTTTGTTATTTTGTTTCTATTTGATGCCACCAATTTTAGTTTTTATTTTCTTTAAAACACACCCCACAACATATAAATATAAATTTTTTAATTTTTTATTATTACATAGTCTAGTGTGTATTATTATGATCATCTTTGGTACCCATCACATCACACACATCAACAAGCCTTTAATAGTCCACTGCTGGACATAGGCCTCTCCTTAGAAAGGAGGCTTTGGCCTACTATACCACTCCGGCCAAAGGGGTTGGTATAGGGTTTGTGTCAAGTTTTCCTTCTCTCTGCAGTGCCGGTGTTCTGCGTAGTTTTTTTCCCTTAGTCGGCTCTTACGACACCCTCGGGATGAATAGGGGTGGTGACACTCTGTATTCTTAATCCGTCACCACACGGTACCCATAACTGTGATATAGGGGGAAGTCCCGTAACGCCGGACGGCACCTAGCGCCGGACACTCATACTATTTTGACAAACGTCAACGCGATCTATTTATAAATCGGTGAAAGGGGTGCGGGGGAACGTAGCGAGACAGGATCACGCAACGCGATTTGCCAGTGAGACGCACAGTCGTGGTGGAAGCCGTGAATTGCTGTTTTTGGTGGGAAAGCGTTGCGTCACGTAAATTTCAAGTAAGTATTACTGCTATGGTTTTATCCTTAATTGTTTTTGTTATTTGTTAATAAAGACAGTGTTTCACTATAATTATTATATTGTGAAAGTTTTTATTAAATACCTAAACAGTTTTAGTATGAAATACGTAATTTTGGACGTTTCCTGTCCCCTACTTTCGGACACAAAGGTGTCCCTTACCACCGGACAGTTTATAGGTTAGCTTTTTTATGAAGCATTTGTACTTATTGTAATGATGATTGTTTGTTGTTTTACAGGATAGAAGGAGAGAGATATTTGAAAATGCAAGAGAGAAAAAAAAAGGAAAATGGGATCAGCAAAGTTTAAAAACTGCGATGAACAAGATTTTGTCCAAAAAAATGAGTTTGAGGGCAGCTTCGTCATGTTACAATGTTCCAAAAAGTACTCTACATGATAAAATAACGACATTGAGCAGTGGAAAAGAAGTCACGTTGCAACCAAAAGTTGGTAGATTTACAAAAACCTTCTCACCCGAGTATGAGCAAGTTTTAGTGGACCACATAAGAGATTTGTCTAATAGATGTCTGCCCCTGATGAAAAACGAGTTTTTGAAGTTAGCTTACGACTTGGCTGAAGCTATGAAGATTCCCCATGAGTAAACAAACCAAACGTGGCAATAACGACAACAAAAAGGAGCCGTTAACTGAAGTATCAAATATAGAAAAAACGACTTGTGTAGTGTGTTTAGAAGACCACGACGAGGACTGGATACAATGCTCCAGATGCCAATAATGGGCTCATGAAGCATGTGCAGACGTTCCAGAATGTGGAGATGCCTACATATGTGATAGATGCTAAAAGTTTTAGAATGTCCGGTGCTTGGAGTTTGAAGATTAACCCGTCCGGCACTAGGTGCCAATGTCAAAGTCCTTTATTTTTTAACCAAAACTTATTTAACATTCCTAAACTATGTTTACGCAGAATTTGTATTTTTGTTATTTGATTTTGATTTTATGTTTTGTTAATTTAGGTAATTCATAAATAAATACATATTTCTCGATGTAGTTTTAATTTTATTTCCTGAAAACCTTATGTGTCCGGCACTAGGGGACTTCCCCCTATTCATAATACTGAAATCCTTATGTCAAAACTTTTAATTTAAACTCCTAAACACAGGCAACTTAGTTGCCTATCTAGGAGAACAGCAATCACTCCAATTAATTATAGCCTAAGTCATATACCTAACTATTATAATAACCTATGTAATGAAACTGTAAAACTTTACTATGAAATAAATGTTATGTTATGTTAACTATGTGAAATTAACATATTCACTCCAAATTGTTTTGACCATTATGTTAGATCAGATTCTAAAAAATTTGACCACAGTGCTTTTCAGTTAAAGGTAGTTATGATCATAAAAGAGATTTAACTTTAACACACCAACTTTAAAAATATTTTGTATATATATTTTAAGTGTTATTTAAGGTCTCTAATTCACATAAAACAAGTTGCTATATCATGCATGGAAATTAGAACCATTTTATAATTATTTTGAGTTAAAAATATTTTTTCAGTCACATTACTCCAAATTTTGATAAGTATTTCCAATGCTGGTGAAAAAATTTTGAAACACTATTTCATGGCTTTTTTTCAGAAAAAAAAATACTAAGGTGATACATTCTATAAAAGATCAATGATTTATCTTAAAACTTCAACTAACCAATTCTTTAAGTCGGCCTGCAAGATTCAATTGCTTCCGCTCACCTAGCAAGTCCTCAAGCCTGCCAGGGGTACATACTGCAATGTGTGCTCCCTTCTGCATAGTCTCTACATCTACCTCCACTGGCCGACCACCTACAAGGAGACCAGTTGTTATGTGAGACAGTTCTGGCTCTTGAAGAAATAGTTCAATGACCTGAAAATCATACATTTACATTTTAAAATCTTATTTATAATTATTTTTTCATATTTACTTATTAAATTATTTTTTAATACAACTCCCGCATTAGGATTGTATTCGTGTGTTGCGCCTTTACATAGATGAAACAGATACAAAGAAGACTCAGAACAACAATCTGTGGACCACACAAAGTGTTGTTCTATGCGGGGATCAAACCCACAACACTCAGCTCAGTAGGAAGTGGCGAGGTGACAGTTTAAAATACTTTGCCATCAATGCAGTCAGAATTGTATGTAGTTTATAATTTAGGCTTTTTATGTTTATAGTTGTCTTAAATAATAAATGTTTTAATTCATCAATTAATAAGCAACTTTTTGTGACATTTAAAATATTATTATATCAAATATTGTTATTTGATTTCTACTTATAATAAATTAATAATAAATAATTCAAAAACAGTAAAAAAAAGTATGTTATAGAAAAGTCGCCAAAAAGCATATTACCTATATAATACCGTAATCTTTAACAAATTGTAAATCTTGTGTTTATTATTATAAAACTAGTAAGCTGAACTGATTAGCATTATATACCTCTTTGTAACTCAGTAAATTGTCTTATATATTAGATTACTTTATTAATTTATAAGGTATTTATATTATAATTATTTTTTTAACAAACATCTTTACCGTACAAATCTGCGTCGCCAATTCCCTGGTCGGTGATATAATGACAGCATAGACAAAGTCTTTCCGTAGCGGTGCCTCTTTTTGCTTCTTAATTAACATTTCTAACATTGGGACCACGAAGGCAAGAGTCTTACCAGACCCTGTGACCGCTTCTGCTACCACATCCTTGCAAGACAAAATCAACGGTATTACCGCTGCTTGTATAGGTGTCATAAACTGGAAATTCTGTTTTTTGATGCAGTTCAACACCGGCTCAGATAAAGCTGGTGATACCTTGGTCCAATCTTTATTAACCATGATTAAAAACTATATTCTTGTCAAAATTTAAATTTACAAATACAACACCATGCGGTTTTGACATTTCATTGTCAAATAGACGGTTGACGTTTTTGACATAACTTCAACGGGGATACCATATCTACAAAAGTAACCAGTGAATGCGTTTCGTTGCTCTTTTGTACGTTTGTAACTTGCGAGGGACCTTTTAGCAAGGGATTTTAAGAATCTTAAGTAAATTAGATAGGCTTACAAAATTTAAAAAAAGTAAATTTTTACTAGCTTTTTGTCATTAAAAATGTCCAAATATTTAGATCAATTCAGTAATTAGGTTTTAGATTGCTCGCACTGCAATCAATATGGCGCATGTTGATATGACAAATTGACAGCTGTGTTTTGTCCCGTAATATAAAGTTGTGATGTTTATTTTACCTCTCCAGACAGATAACGCACTTATTTAACAATGACGCGGCCTTTCGGTAATAGTGATAAACGATTTTCTATTGACGACGCATTTGAAGAAGAAACTGATGAAGCTATAAAAGTTTACGGTGCTACAGGAGACAGATCGCCTTTACAGAATAAATATAAAAGTGGAAACGAATATCTGGCCAGGTAACATAATTTTATTATATTAAGAAAATTATTTCGATGGGTTTGTAGTTAATTTTTTTTTGAAGAGTGTGTTTCTTTGTATTTTAATGTCAGTATGTTCATGACCTTTCCGTGAGTCATAATACCTTACTAGAGCAAAGGCAGACGAACTTTCGAGCCGTTACTTACTTTGTAGACGTACGTTAAGACTGTTGTTGTGGCGCTAATTACTCGTTAGCATTTACTAAATTATGTTGTACATTGAACTACACTGACCTGTTCCGTAATGTTTTCGCACAGTTTATCACATTATTAAAGATTTATTCGTCATGCGTACATAGAGAGATGAAAAAAAAAAGTACATTTTTTTTTTCTAATATTCTTTTTTTTTTCAATGCTGTTTAAAGTAGGTTTAGTAGTATTTATATCTACAAATTTTGACTAAACGGCAAGTTTTAATTGCATGAAAGGAAGTATAAAGTTTTTTAATTTACTGCATTATATTCTAGTCAATTTATTTTTGTCTCACATATATATTGCAGCAATCAATATGTTACACAAAAAAAGTATTCATGGTTTCAATTATTTATTTATATCTTTATTGTATAGACTAAAATTATAAAAAAATTAGTGACAAATACATTGACTTAACAATCGGCTGTCTTATCACTCACCGCAATCTCTTCCAGACAACCTTCAAATGGATTGTAGGTATTAACAGTTTAAGGACTCATACACTGCAGTCTGATCCCAAACTAGGCAGAGCCTGGGCTATGGTAACCAGACTGCTGGTAAACATACTTATATATTTTTAAATACATACATATTATAGATAAATTACACCCAGGCACAGAACAAATCTCCATGCTCATCACACAATATTTGTCCTGGGTGTGAATCGAACCCATAACCTCCGGCTTAGCAGTCTGAACTACAAACACTAGACCAACAGGCCCATCAACATATTATGTTATACATAACACACACATTTACGTAACACATTATCACGTAAATATTTAAAAATACAACATTCATACACTAATAAACATCTATGGACATTACACATATACAAATGCACATATATAATATATAACTAATCTAAGATTATTTATAATGATAGATAAAATAAAAAAAATTACCATACCAACAGTTTTACCATATTCTATACAAACTTATATATATATTTCTATATGATTCTTTCCAATTTTTTTAAGCCTATTGATAACAGTCTATAGAAAATTTGATGATGGATTATGTGATAATACATCCTAATTACATGTTGATTCATTCTATGTAAAGACTAACTAAGACATTATGCCTTGCAATAAAGTTTATTGGTAATCATATAAACATTTAATACTCTTACGAACAAGTTATGACACAAATTCCACTATCATGCTAATTAATTTGCTCTCAATAAAAACGGTGCTATGAATCAACTCTGGGTCTTGATCTTTTGGCGCAAAAGTTCAAATAAATAAATAGAATACTCATAGATTTAATTTGGTGAGTAATACAATTCCGAGTTCTTTTTAATGATGTTTCCTCTTTATGATTCAGTTTGTGTTGGTTGTTTATGGTGTTGATATGTTATACTAGTTGAGCATATAAGTTCTATGTGAGTGAAGTTTAGTTTTACATCAGTAATTTCATTGAAAATGCAAACAATTAAAGAAAAACCAGAAATGCTTGTCACTGTTTGCTTGACAGATAACAGGTATTGTTTATCAAAGTCATTTTCATCTTTTTGATAATCTGCTTTTCGGACATCAAATATAGTGTCAATATTTTTATGTCATCTCACCAGGAGAAACATAACCAATATAAATTGCTACTCTTTTTCGAAATATAGTTTGGTCTGGATGTGGAGCAGTGGAAGTAAAAACTAAGTAATAACTTCTTGTTCATTCTTATGGAAATGAATTGATCATTTCCATAAGATTCATCATATCATTCCATTTATATAGACAGCTACTTGGTAGTAAAAGAATTGCAAAATCGGTCCAGCCGTTTTGAAGAACAGTACCCGGAACAAACAGACAGACAGACAAAAAATATTTAAACTGGTTTTTAGGCATAGGTATCGTGCAAATAACCGTGACACTTAAATTTTATTTTTTGTATAGATGTTACAGCCTTTCCCATAATTTTAATCCGCGTTGAAGAATGCGTCATTTGTCATATCGTTTTATGATCATCTATAACTTTAAGCGATTAAATTAAGACGTCCTTTATGACCTTTGATTGCACAGATCACATCTGTTTATCCAATTTCCTCAACAACTTCCACTACATCGTGGTTAATCCGATAATTGTAGCGGATCCATGCTTCACCATGTATAAGCTCGATCGGAGTTTTACTGCAGCACAGAAAACCTTTGCTTTGCAATTTTACGTTGCACTTAGCGTATTGAGTGAAGTTGCCGCAGCATGGCCAAAGGCCAACAGCGCACTTGACACTCTCAAGTTTCTGAAGGCCAATTCTCGTAATAAAAGTTCGGTTACAATTCATTTCTTAGCAACTTTAGATGTCATAACTGTAGCGGATCCATGCTTCGCCATATATAGGGCTCGATTGGAGTGTTACTGCAGCATAGAAAACCTTTGCTTTGCAATTTTACTTTGCACTTCGCGTATTGAGTGAAGTTGCCGCAGCATGGCCAAAGGCCAACAGCGCACTTGACACTCTCAAGTTTCTGAAGGCCAATTCTCGTAATAAAAGTTCGGTTACAATTCAGTTCCGATCAACTTTGGATCTCACAACTGTCATCAAAGGTATTTTCGTAGTAAAATAGTAAAGTATTACTAAGACTAGCAGATTACCGATTCAATGTTCGGTTACAATACGATATAATCACATTACAGTCAACGTTGGATGTTTAATATTTTACTAAGAAAACCTTTGAGATCGAAAGTTGGTCGGAACTGAATTGAGACCGAACTTTAATCACGAGAATTGGTCTTCAGATGTCCATATGCGGGTAGTCACTTTACATCAGGTGACCTTTCTTTTTTTTGGCATAAAAGAAAAACTGTAAACAATATACCCGTTAATTTTCTCACGTCACTTACGGGATTAATAATATGTAATTGTTCTAAATTACGCTGGATTTCATTTCCGCCAATAGGTTTATCGGCAACCGCAGTCGTCTTATTCTAGATACGTTAGTTCTTCACAGTACAATTGGTTAGCTAATAGGATAATGCGAGAAGCTTCTCGCATTATTCTACTAGACTGCAGCATTATTCTCTTGAGTAGCTACTCAAGAGAATAATGCTGCAGTCTGAAGATAATTAACTTAGACATTCTGTATTTTCCTACTAACTAGACCTGTTTACGAGGTTACGTGCGACTGTTATTTTCGAAATGATATGCATCGTCTAATATCTTAAAATAAACCAGCTAACAAGATTGTTGCAGTAGGTACTTTCGTTTTGTGATATTGTCTAGAAATTTTCAGAAAGTCGAAAAAAGCAAATGTTCGAAGTAAATTATTGTCTATGGTGTGAGTAATGTAATAAAAACTAAGTGGTACATCTACACAATATGTAATAGTATTCATGAACCTCGTCATCGTCTTTGTTTTTGTTACTTAATTAGAATATAATAGAAAATTATTTAAATTAAAACAAAGTTAAATAACAACATACACAAAGGAACTAAAAATCAAGTCGTCATCAACAGCCTTTATTAGTCCACTGCTGGACATAGGCCTCTCTTTAGAAAAGAGGTTTTGGCCTACTATACCACGCTGGCCAGACGGGTTGGTACAGGGTTTGTTTCAAGTTTTCCTTCTCTTTGCAGTGCTGTTGTCCTGCGTAGTTAGTTCCCTTAGTCGCTTCTTACGACATCCACGGGATGAATAGGGTTGGTGACACTCGGTATTCTTAATCCGTCACCACACGGATCACGGACGAAAATCAAGTAAGGTTTGATAAAAGCAACATTTTTAGGGTTCCGTACCTCAAAAGGTGTAAAAGGAACCTTTATAAGATCAGTTTCTTGTCCGTCTGTCCGTGTGTCACCACCAATTTTCTCAGGAACAGGTAACCTAGCAAGTTGAAATTTATACCAGATACTGAGGGCTATAGTCCCTATGAGGTGTATAAAAATCAAGGTCCTGAGTCAGCCATAAAAAAAAATTTGAATATTCAGATAAATTTTGGTACTTACAAATTTTCGCGAAAAGCTACGTAAAATCTGGGTAGGTACGGAACTCTCGGCGCACGAGTTCTACTCGTACCTTACCGGTTTTTACTTGTAATTAACATTGTTTTATCTCAAAAGCAATTATTAGGAATAGAGCTTGGTTTTGTTGAGTTTAATTTATATCTTAGTGTCACATAAAAGAGATTATGGTCGATTCAGATATTATTTAGGCTGTATTACAGAATGTTACCCAAAATTCAAGAAACGCTTGAACGTAGTTCTATATGGCGAAAACTAATCTCAAGCGTTTTTGGAGTTTTGAGTATCATTTTGTAATACGACCCTTAGATTTATTTGTTTATAGATACCTAATTGTTGTTGAATGGATTGGTGTAATTTATCTATAATATGTATGTATTTAAAAATATATGTTTATCAGTATGTCTTACCATAGTACAGGCTCTGCCTAGTTTGGGATCAGACAGCCGTGTGTGAGATGTGTGAGTTTATTATTCATTACAGTTGGTATCCCTATTTTACCATTTTAATCCATCCAAAAAACTTATACTACGTGCAGGGCCGCCGCTAGCTGTTTGAGCTCCGCGCTGCCCTTGTTTTTGTACAAAAATCGCCCACCTGGCAACTGGTGGGTGGTTATGGATTTTATTTCTGAACAAGTCCTTTTTATCCTTATTTTAATGAGTTTAGAAATCATATTACTTTATTTCGATACAATTACACCGCGGCACGTCGTGCCATGCCACTGGTCCAGACGGCCTTGATATCCCGACGGACCCCGAGTCATCTTACAGCACACTCGTGGGTAACCATGGTTGCACCTCCCTCCATCTAAAGACGTTCCGGAGGCGCGTCGCGGCCACCTATCACCCTCAGACCTGTGCTCATGGAGAAAGGTGATCATTCAGTCACCTTGAGCCGCCTGCGGTACCTGATCTGTTCCCGGGCCTGGCAGGCCGGAAGAGGGTTATAAGCCCCTCATGGTCCAACTGCGCTTAACTTTTACTATGAGAAAACGCGTATAGTCCGTTCAAATTACCTAGCCAGCCACCTCGCCCCGTCTTTTCCCGCCTATCGCTTGAGGTACCTACTTAATTTAGACAGGTGAATTTCTATCATTTAGTACCTAGCTACGTATTTTTTTCCCTACCTACCTAAATATATATTCTCTTATTTAGAATTGATGCCGTGTGGTTTTAGGTGTTATGTAGGTATAAACAGATAAAGGGCTAAAAAATATACTAGATTTAAATATAAAATTTGAAATTTTAAAAAACAGTTTGAGTTTCGGTTTCGGCCGAAACTGGAACAAGGGCAGAAAGTTCTGTTTTGGCTGAAAAACCTGTTTCGGTCGGACACTCATTTTTATATGGATTACTAGATGTTATAAGTATAAATTATAATACATCAGAGCAAGCGGTGTTTACTAGTAAATAGTCGTACTTTAAAAGAACAATTATGTTTTAGTTTAAACATTGTAGTGCATGAATTGTCAACAATGTAAATAAATAAATATGAATTAGGCATTGTGTTCCTAAGAAATAACATAGAATCGTAGCAATTGAAAGAACTCGCTCATAAAGAACACCTATCTCACTCTATCTTTGTATCGCCCAATCGGTCGACTTGCAGAGAATGCCTTAGGCATTAAGTCCGCCTATGCATGTATTTATGCATAAAGTTATGAAATAAATAAAGAAATTTAAAACAACATTAACGCCATAGTGACGATAATCGTGAACACAAGCGTATTAAACAAAATATAGGGTATCAACTATATTTAGCTCACAATCACGAAATATGGGTGATAATCACGTAGTTTTTTCTAAAATAACCGGCTGACAGTAATAAAAGCTTTTGACGTCACCTGGGCACTTTTCACCGAGAATTTGGCAGTATATATTGACAGGAAAAGGTAGTTAAGACGGATAGGCATAAAAAAATTAATTTCCTCGCTCAACTCGCTGCTAGATAGAAGGACTTCGACACATCTCGATATTTTTTTTATGGGTACATGTAAATATTGAATTAATTCTTATTATTAATGGAAACCTTAGTAACAAGTTTCCATTGGCACACTTTCAGGCAATCTATCATCACGTGTGCCTCATCACCTCCTAACGTGTGCTATAGGTCTTGGCCTTCCGAGTCCAATCTACCCCAGCAGCCTTCCTTAGGTGCTCAATCCATCTGGACGCCCCGTTAGGGCAACCTACCCTTCGTTACCCTTTAGTTAGATGAGAATCTTGTAGTCTTTTTTTGATCTGAAACATCTAATGCGCGTCGCCACGGCGTGCGTCGTCACGCTCTGTGATAGTACTTTTTTTTAATCTGAATACATTTATGTAATTAATTGTGCTATATTTATTATTTGCTTTCGTAAGCTATCCTTTTATACTCCTTACTTTTACCAAATAATTTTGATATTTTACAGGAGCTCAATTTTTTGTTGTAAATATCCTAATAAGATTGAAGCAAATGACCTCTGTTAAACTCCAGGGCGCCACAAAGACATCGGGGCACCAGGGACTTCCTTTCTAGGGTATACCTGGTTCCCCGGCTATTAGTACCCGAGACGGCGTGCGGTTTTAGTCGGTTCGAGTCCGATATGCCACCGACAGGTGGTATCCGAGGGGATTTCCGCACGGAAAAAAAAAAAGGGCGCCACAAAGACACAAACATGCATGCGTACCTATACATGTAGGCTGATAAACACATAACCTTCTTTGCGTTGCGCAGTCGAGTAAACAGATGTCAACTCTACTTCCTTGCAGCTTATCTACAGTTTAATGACATTTGCTATAAACTTAAACTGCTGCGAACTAATTAAGACAGTAAACAGAGTGATAATTCTTTACAATATTTTTGTTTTGGCAACTTATAATGGACTTATCATGATGTTACGGTCGTTACGGCCTGCATACAATGTAACTACAACCCAGATTATCTATAGTCAAGCTTGTGTTTGCTTGCACTAAACAGAGCTAGTATTATGGGTTAGTGGTAGTAAAACACGAATATAAATACTCACATTTCTTTTATACATCTTTCATGATATTGGACAGACATGTTAATTTGTTGTTAATTTTAGTCCCAACTTACGCAATACGTGACAAGCCTATAGCCGTCACCTTTGGATTTAGATAGGAGAACTGGTAAGATATTGAAAGGGCACCGGACACGCACGTCATCCGTGTGGTGACGGAATAAGAATACGGAGTGTAACCACCCCTATTCATTCCCTGGGTGTCGTAAGAGCCGACTAAGGGAGTAAACCACGCAGGACGACAGCACTGCGAAGAGAAGGAAAACTTGAAACAAACCCTACACCAACCCGTCTGACCAGCGTGGCATAGTAGGCCAACACCTCTTTTCTGAGGAGAGTCCTGTGTCCAGCAGTGGGCTAGTAAAGGCTGTTGATGATGATCGAAAGGGCACCGGACACGGTTACAGACAGACAAAAAAAATGTGTGTGTCAGCTCAAACGCACGACTGGAGTTTACTCGTTAAGAACGATTCGGCTGCACACAAGTATAACAGTTATACGATAGGTTGCGATAGGTTGCGCACAAAAAACGTAACGAGGTCATTCGATCACTAAATTTGACTCTTCAGTTTGATAACCGGTTTTCTAGTGATAAATAGTATTATCCAATTGTTTGGTTTATTCTATAAACATAGTATTCTTTAAATTGTTTTCAAGTCAATTTATGTTAATAAATCTATTAAAACCGATTCAACGTCCAAATAAATCTGTTAAGGGTTTTGTGATGTTTTATAGCCAACATTGCACATTTTGTAATGGCTAACATTGTAGCTGTATTGTACATTTTGTGTCAATATATGAAAAAAAACGTAGGTAAGAAGAAAATAGAAAAAGGAAATTGGATTAGAGTCTGTAAGTAATGGCTCGAGCAGGTTTACCCGTAAATAAAATTGTCTGTTGTCGAAAAGTTCGTTCATGCATATCATAGACAAGCCATTGACCGCGCCTTCGCTCGCGTAATTATCTCCTATTGCATGTTGCTAATGAACATGACGAACTTCCATACAACCATTCATTCCTTAATTTACCCCTTTAGGGGTGATATTTTCAAAAATCCTTTAGTAGTGGGTATTTACAACATAAAAAACATCAGCTTCCAAAATTTCACGTTGGTGGCCTTTTTTTTGTTTTACGTGTGCTATCCTCCTCGGGCCGTCACCCCACCGGAGTTTGCGGCGAGGTGGTGTGTCGAAGTCGGACCGACTAAAACCACACGGTGTGCCACTCTGCGCCTGTAATAGGAGGGATCCGGGCACTGCTGTTTTTAAGACATTCGCACCCCTCCTAGCGCCTGCCCGCAAAGGCGCGGGCACCACCTTCGGGTACATTCTCTCTTTAGGCGACGTCCGGCACACGCGGACGTAGCCTCCTCGCGGATGGCCGTTATGAGGCGGCATGAGGCGGTGGCGCGCCTCCGCTGCCCGGTTCCCCGGCGACGGATTAGGTCCGAGTGGAGGTTGTCCTCCCGGACAGAGGGTCCGGGAGGACAACCTCGCCGCCTCCTTCTGCGAGATGACGTCTTCGCAGAAGGATGCGGCGGGGACACCGGCCATGGAGCGTATGAGAGGCGTGCCCTATTCTCAGCGGGCAGAGCCGCCGCCCACAACGTTTGTAGCCCTAGAGCCCCTGCTCAATGTGATCGATATCGACCCCTTACTACAAGTTCTTATTTGAAAAAAACTTTCAATATACTGTATTAGTTGTTACGTATACATTGATACGGTTTTAGTAGGAAATATTATTGTTGTACTTTTAAAAGATTCAACAAGTCGATAAGCGTGCAGGAATTTGGCTATGGGGGTCTAAGGTATCAGTTTATTCTAGAAAGGGGTCTCTTGTCCAAAATAGTTTGGGAATCTCTGCCCAAGAGGTTTAGGCTCTGAGTTGATAAATCATTTAGTCAGTTATATCAAGTAATTTTATATGTAAAGATAGAAACACCTATTATAGCGACCAATTCAAAATCACAATTATTTTCTATTTAGTATATAATACTCAGGTTCAATGTTATATATTAATTTGTTGCGCGTGTTCTCGTTTCATTTCAAATTAACGATAACGACCTTAAACTCAACCTTTGCACTGTTATTAATTTTGTTAGTTAAATTACAAAATAATGAACTCTAATGTTGTTACTTTTTATTGTATTCATATACATACCATAGATATTATCTATGGTAGGTATAGAATAGGTTTGCGTCAAATAATAAATGTAACAATTAGGGTAGTAGTAATAGGGTAGGACTCAACCGAAGTCGGACTCACAGGAGTTGAGCAATTCTTTCGGTGCTTAGTTACCCGTAGTTGATTACTTACGTGATTCAACTGCTCGTTTACCCTTCTATATCATAAGAAAAAAAGAGTAACGGCAATAACGATTTACTCTAACTTCTAGAAATTCCGTAATTTTTGTAAAATGTCCAATTGGATTTTAAACGTTTTTTTTTTTTCAGCAAAACATACAAATGCACGGAAGACACAACTTCACGGGACTCAGACTCATTGATACATGAATATGTTGAAGCCACAACGTCTATGTACTGCTGGAACCATCCAAAAGTCAGAGAGAATTGGAAAACAGTATGCGCAGCGGTTGTGTTACTTTTAGTGGGTGTGGGACTTCTTGGCATGGGGGCGTTCGCTGTTGCCGAACCCGAGAATGGTCTCCAAGGTGCAGTATTCTTCGTCGCTGGTATGATCTGCTTCGTCCCTGGCGCGTACCACGTCGTCTACATATGGTTAGCTGCGCGTGGCCAGCGAGGTTACGATTTTTACCATCTCCCTTTGTTTACCTGATTTATTTTACTTTTTAAGTTTATATAAGCTTGTAAAATGAGTGTAAATTATAAAAGGAGTACGAATATCATGTCTGGAGATGTATGTTTGCGATTTTTTGCTCTCTAATGAAGACAAAGTTATCAGTGGTTGATAAAAAACAGGAGGAACTCATTCCCGTTTTACTGTTAAATGAATATTAAAATATTACAAATGCTTCTCCTTATAACATCACGATGTTAACGATGGAAATAAATTCGTAAAACTGTTAATATATTATGTTACGTAGATTGAACTTTTAACAAAAAAATGTCCAGTAATGCAGAATTACCTATGTAAATAAAATGCTACCTTTATAAAAACTAAATGTTGAATAGTTTAAAAATGTATTGAAGAATTGAAAAAAAAAGAAAAATTACCTACTTCAATAAATTTTAATGTTTGTTAATCAAATATGTTGTAATATAACAATTTAAAACATAATTATTATAGACTATTGAAGTGCCTAGTTGCATAGCTACGTAGACTTTTAATTTTGTAGCAATGTCGACCATTACTTGCTGCGTAATATCTGAAACGGTAGAATTACATTCAGCCATTTATTTTTCGCTGCGTTTTTATTATTAAAAAGCTCTTGTAGTTGCATTATATCAATTTTCGATAATAGAGCGAAGTTTAATTAGTATAATTTGCCACCGAAATTTTGTAAAAAGCGTTAATTTATTAATTCAATGAGGTTGTAAACGTAACGAAATACTATAAACACACTAAAGAGTTTTAATATGTCTACATTATACACTTTTTGTGTGTTTTGTGAACAGGTTTCCTACTTATTTTCAATATTTTGCAATCTATACGTAATTTTGTTAAAACCATGCCCTATCAACCAGTCAGTGCAGTGTTTCACAATTTTTAATTTGCGTACGTTCTATCGCCCATTAAGAAATAGTTATGGTACAAATTAAGAAAAAAATGTTCCACAATACTATATTAAAAAATCAAATTGTCATTTTAATGGCAAAAATCGCGCGCTTAGGATTGTCATATTTGTTATATAGTTTGGTTAGTATGATGCCAGCTTATTCATGATCGGTGCAGTTGTAATAAGGAAATTCAAAAATTAGCTACCTATCAAAATTATTCAATTCAATTCATTTATAAATATGTATACACGCGGTGCAGTGATTATATTAATAAAAATATGGTATTTTATCAACAAACAAAAAAAAATGTGATAATGCAAAAATATTTAATAAACGGTTAACAATAGTCATAAGACAATAAGGATTTAATCTAAAAGTAACATTTTATCTGAAGTTATGGGCCGGCTCGACCGGAGTAATACCACAGCCACACAGAAAACCGGTGTTAGTCAATTATTTTGTTGCTTTTCACCGAGTGAGTCAGGGTACCGGAGTAAAAACTAAAACTAATAAACTATTTGAACTAAACGCTAAGCTATGCTGAAGAGTAAAATAAAACGTTGTTTTATTGTCCTATTAAACAACGTACTCTGTGCGTGTAATTCTGGTCATCATTAAACCGGCACGGAAAAAAATGTTCAATGATCTTGTAACAAAATAATATAACACATAAAAATGAATATTATCTAGGGTCCGTATATAAAAATAAGTACCTGGATGACCGAGCTGCTCGGTTTTATTTTTTGGTAAATTTTCTAAAACCCAAACCCTAAATTTCATGAAAATCGTTGGAGCCGTTGCCAAGATTCAGAATATAAATATATATTACGATAAACGAGTAATTCTTATATATATATACAAGAATTGCTCGTTTAAAGATACTATATATTATTAGATTCGCTGTGATGGTGAATACAGATGCTCATACCGGGATTTAAAATCTTATAAGAATGTTATATCAAGAGTTAAGCCATAAAAAATGTTTTCGTGTAACAATATCACAGCCCGATAAAAACTGCTTTAAAAACTTTATTTACGGACTAACATAACAGGAATAGATATTTTGCTATTTAGAAACTTATAGTCATCCAGTTATTTGTAATGTTTTGTTATTGTCAAATTAAAGTTTGGTTAGTCATGCGAATGCGATATTGACAATATACCTTTGTAATTTTTGCGTACAGTAATAAATACACATTTTATTTATTTCTTGTAGCAATGTCCTTGAAACATGTTTAGGTAAACAAAGTTCTGTTTTTCTCAATTTAAACATAGATTTTAGAACTAACATGTTAATGGCTTAGTTTCTATTTTAGTGTCTACAACGTTGGCAGTGAAAGTCGTTATTCTAGTCTATGCTATTCGAATTAAATGTGTTCAGTTTAAACTTTCTGATAATACGTTTTGATACTTGATTAAATAGTATATTGTAGCATAGTGTGCAATATTTTCTTTTTTCGATAACGTTATCTAAATATAGGTCTATGTTTGTAACCTTGGTATTGTAAACATTGTGAGGCATGATGGATTATATAAAGGTTTTTTTATTTTGAACATCACTGATAAAAAAAAATAGGCGTATTATAACTTTAATAATGGCTTAAAACGCTTGAGGTTAAACTTAAAATGACATGTTTTTTTTTTTATGTCTTCATGAAATCCTACATCCCTAAAATAACCTGATGAATTGTGATGTAGTTCGAGGCACTGGAATAATATTGAACCTAGTCTCTACTTCAACCACATTGCGGTTATGATAAATGTTTTATTTATGTATATATACATATTGTTATTATTTATGTATAACTAGATGGTTCTCAATTAATATTAATTGTATAATTTTTACCATTAGGAAAATTATAGCAGCTCTTAAAATATCTATGTTTTTTATTCACAGCCTATCAACGAATAATTTTATGATTGCTTTTGTCATTACTAAGCATTACCTACGTATATTTTATTAATACAGATAATAAATTAATACCTTCTTACATAACTTTCTTTTTAGATTTTGTATTTAAATTATTTAGTTATTAGCGCGTATTAGTTTAAGAAATTTAATATTTCGTTGCATGTAAAATATAAAATACTTTTTTTTAAGCAGTGTTGTGATATATGCTTCGACTTAAATATTGGCAAGTTTAAAAAAAGAAAATGAAACGGACAGCCCGTGTAAAGAGATGTGTAGGTACATATTTTTAAACTCAAAATGGATTATGCAATGCTTTTTAGGAATAATATAACAATGTTCGTATGTTTTGTTTTTGTATAAATTATGTTAATCATGCTATAGATAACCGATGTAACCTTTTTTTTAATGTAATAAATGTAGAAATAGTTTGATTTCTGTGAATCGGTGTTTTCGTCATAATTTATAGTAAATGATTTTGTGACATATCAGTATGATTATTGTAATGTTGCGATTTGGAAGCTAATACACGAATGTACAAACGTTACGAGTACGAGAAAGATTTCTACTTGTTTTATTTTATGTGTTTCGCTTTCTGCTGCGTCAAAAGGCATGTTTTCTTTTAAAGATTAGAAGGGCTATCACTGGCTTGGTTCAGAGCGGCGTCGAGTTGCTGATTGGATTCTGTTAAAATGTAGTATTCACGAGTAATAGGTAGGTATACATACCTTGTTTTCTATTCACGTTTTTAGTAGGTATAGTGTTAATGATACACTTAATTTAATTTTTAGACTACGGCCTTCGTAGTAGTGAATTCACTCTTGTAGTAGTAGTTGTCATTAGCGTAGAATCCCAGTTTTGTACCAGATACTTTGTAAGGTACCTATAATTTGTGCTGATAGTGGTTTACCAGTTGGTAGGTACCCTGTGGTGTTACATGATAAAAAATATTCCATTATGTCCTCATTCGTAACACAATTAAAATACTAAAAACCAAAACAACTTCTTAAAAAACTTTGTCACTTCTAGGCACGCTCGATCGCTGTACGTGGTTGAACAAATGTTTGGAATGCATAATATTATTAAGTTACCCTCACTATATTTGTGTAAGAAATTGTTTTGTTATTATTTTGTTTCAATTACTTTTTTCCGTGTCACAGCTAAATCAATGAAACTGTAATTTCTTTTTCTCATGTAAGTGAATAGTTAATGTTATTCTTTGTGAGAATTAAGTGATCCTAAACCTGAAAAAAATTGAAATTGTCCGTGGTCACAGGGAGACACATTATTAACCAGGATACCAAGAATAATATCAATACCGCGGAGTGTTGACTGAAATCGTTAATAAACAAAAAGTTTAGAATGACTCATTTTATTTCTGCACATTAATTTGCATGAAATGAGTAACAGTTGTGTCAGTGTTTATAAATAGACGTTACTTTATGTTGTGGGGCTTCTAAATCGTAGCATGTGGTGATAGATACTATGAGAATGTATAAAGAAGTTTGTCAGTTGCAATAAAATATACCTATTGTGTAATTTATTTAAAAATAGTTTTACAAAAATTACACATTGGAAAAAGTCAACTATTTGACAGACAAAAACGGCGTTCTCGTTGTGAGAAGGTAAACGATTTTTTTGGCGTACCTGTTAACTTATTATAAAAAAGTTTAATGAAACATCTAATGCGGAGGGCCAGACCGGCTGTTGGCGTGACGTTTTTGACGTGACAACGTCTTATAATTCGATGGAGCCGGCTGCACACACGAAAAAACATGACTCATGCGTCGTTACCTCGCTCTGAGGCGTTCCATTTAAGGCGTGAAGTGCAAACGAGAGCGCGGAACGAGTGACAAAGAGGCACAATCGGCCTCCGCGTTCGGCAGCGTTCGACATCTGTCTCTCTCCTACTTGAGTGAGCGATGCGTCCGCGTGAACAGCTGCTACTCGTATACAATAATACATTTTTGAAAAATGCTACCATTCCATCAGTATTTTCTTATGACGTTGTCACGTTCAACTATCGTCAGTAAACCGACTTTACAGACAACCGATTTTTGATAGTATATGTATGTAACATGTAAAGCGGTGTGGCGACGCGTCACCATGCGCAAGTAACTCTGTGTATAATAAATAAACAGTCATCTTTATCTTCAAAAACAACTAAAATACTTAAATCTAATTTCAAAAAGAAAATTAGGTTATTATTTCCTTTCATAAACTATCCTTTTAATACTAAAATAGATGATGAAATTTCATTTATCTTGGTTTTACTGATGATGTTATCTTAATATATTAAAATCGTTTTTTTATACCTCTTAACACTTAAAAAAGTGAAAGTAGATAATTAATGTAGACTATAATAGAAGACACTTGTCATTAAGCTAAGCGCCAAATAACTCTGCGGCAACAAAGTTTGCTGCAAACCGAATTTTGCGGAGGTACACTCGCAAACAAGCGTACTGAGTATCCAAACATATTTTATATACTGTTAGCGTGCATTATTATCGTCGTATTTTTATTAAAGTCGCAAACAAATAAAATACATATTTTAACGCTTTTGGTAACTACTCCAGACTAGTTATATAAACTCATTAGCAATAAATAGACGCTTCTAGAATTAATTTTAATATTTGGTCTAACAAGGTGGCAAATCTATACTTAATATTATAAAGCTGAAGTTTGTTTGTTTGAACGCGCTAATCTCAGGAACTACGGGTCCGATTTGAAAAAATCTTTTAATGTTAGATAGCCCATTTATCGAGGAAGGCTATAGGCTATCATCACGCTAAGACCAATAGGAGCGGAGCACCAATGAAGAATTTTGCAAAAACGGCAAAATTTATTTCTTTTAAAAGACACAGATGAAGTTGCGCGACTCAGCTAGTACTACTAAATAATTTAACAAATCATTAGTAGCAGCAGATTAAAAACTTAGGTATGAACTAACTACATTAATATTTCATACCAGGCGTTCGGAATATTAGAGCATATTCACGTTTTTTTCCTCTTGAGTACTTCTTAAGTATGTTTTGTGCATTGCGGACAGTCACACTCGAAGCTTTCGCATATTCTTTAACGGAGGTAATTTTATTTTTACTCCTTGTAGTGATTCTGCTTTTAAATAGTTATATACCTTTATTAAAAACTATTTTTCTGGCCTGCCTTTTTAATACGGTGTATCGTCTCGGTATTTTGAGAAACGCACATAAAGCATAACAATTATGTTCATAACAGTACGTTAAAGCAAAGCAGTAAAATTACTAAATGCGTTAGAGCGAGATACATGACTGACCTTTCAGCAGTGCAGCTCGTCGGCGGTCACGTGCCCAAGTCCCCTTAAAATGCTCACAGCGCAGGACTTGGATACCACACTAATACCTAAAATTGTGTTTTGCGGAGCTACTCGCGCGAACTGTTTTGGCGCAGGGTTATTTAGCGTGTCTTATACCAACCTTGAGAGATAAGTTTTGATCTGGAACGTCTTTCCTCTGCAATTTATGAAATGGGACGGAAGTGTGTAACAGGAGGCCGGGAACCGCGCGCTATTTAATTTGATAAATCAACGTAGGTACAGCTATGATCATTTATTTTGCATTTTCGGTTGACTGATGCTATATTCAGATTGGTTTGTGGCAGCTAACACATATAGTGTAATTAAAAAATAGGTCATTAAGTCATCGATATAATTTGTTAATAGTTAATGACATTCGTATTTATGTGATCCAAACACAGATAATCTTTATTAATATATGCATGATCCATTTAATAACATTAAAATACTTTCTACTATTCCATAAACAATAAAGTTTCTTTTAATATATATTTAAAATCAATCACAATGTATCTTTCAAATCAAATCAATATCCTACACATAGACAAACATATATAATGTTCCTTTGTTTATGTTCAAGCTGGGTCCCTATTACTGTTCTATATGATATATATGTTATAAAACTTGTAAATAATTCTTAATTTAATAAATTAGTCATCTTTCCCGCAGATTGACTTTTATTTAATTTTTTTAAATTGAAAACTCAAAGCATATGTTTTTTTCGGATCATATAAGAGGTTGGAGTCTGGATGACGGTAGTTATTACAATCTCAGCTGTAGAAAATGAAGTTACAAATACACGGCGGTGTCTCGATGGGTTGGCACAACAGAGAACTTAACGAGTGTTCTTTAGACCACACGTCTGAAGTAAAACTTCTTAAGCTCCATCTATATGTATGTATACATGTATATACATACATATCGCAAACGAACTACTGACAGATATATATATTTCATGCACTGGCTATGAGAGGAAGACAGAAAGAAACATGCGCCCGCACTGCTCTCTTTTACTCCTACAGTGTGATACAGACAATAAGCCTGCACTGTGTCTTAGATATACGAAACGTAACTCTCTCTCTTTCTATCTTCACTTACTTATGTCTTCCTCTCAACTTCCGTTCGCCTCGCCCGATCACACTTTCCGTAACGCATTCACCAGCTTACTCCCCAAGTCAAGCATGCGTAAAAAAGTTTTACTTCAATAATAAGTTGCCGGCTGGGTGATTACATTCTAGGTTAATAGTTTGGAATAATGTAACCTGGGTTTATATTGACTTCTGTTAGAATATCTTTTAATTATTTATCTAGGTATAAATCACATTAAATTTAGTACTATTAGTCAATTATTTTCATTTTTAACACAACTACCGCATTAGGAAAATTTCCAGTGTCGCAGGGAACTTAACAGACATACATGAATCGAACACAAAGAACACACACAATTTGTGAATCACACAAAGTTTTGTCCCATGTCCAATTGAGTACTGTTTTTTTTTTTATTTTCATTAGGATCTGGCGACGTGACAGCTTAAATGTCATTCATGCAGTCAAAGTCAATATTTTACTCTCCAAATTAGCCAGCTCCAGCTTACCTGATAGTAAGTGACTATCGCTACTCATGGACATCTACAACTCGAGAGCCATGAGAGGTTTGGTGCTCCACTTCACTCACTCACTGAAAAGCTACAAAAGAATAACACAGGTTTTTGTGAAGCTGTGTCACTCAGGCTGAGCTGATCCATTTAATTTATTAACATTAACGAGTAGAATAATTATGGTAAATATTGCACTTAGTGGTGCAGTAAAAAAAAAATTGTCTGTGTGGTGATGGATGGGTGAGATTCATCTCAAGGGTATAAATGACTGTGTGTGAGCCAACTGGGAGCAAACTACGCAGAATAACGGCACTACAAAGAGAAGGAAAACTTGAAACAAAGCCCAGCTAGCTTAGTATAGTAGACCAAAACCTCATTTTCTACTGTGAGGCCCATGTCCAGCAGTGGATTAATAAGGACTGTTGATGATGATGAAATAATAAATTTAAACATGCTAAGTTTTACTCTGTTCTACTTTCATTGTCATGTTGAAAAGTACCATGTTTAAATTGTTACGATGGGTACAAACAACTAAAACTATTGTCACTAAGCTCTCTATTAAACAACTACATAGTGATACTTTAAAAAGATAGAAGACACGTCACTAAGACACAAATAAAAAACACAAGTTTTTCCTAAACTATATTAAATGCTTTCTAGCTATTCTTCTTAACTTAAAGTGCTGTAAGAACCTCAATTCACCACTCCAATTTTTCAACACATCCATTTGTTGACGATCTAACAGGTCTGGCATCTCTATACCACATGTATCGAATTCTTCTGATTCCTGTTTCTTGGTAATATTGATAATATCTTCTCTGCTAGCATGCTGACGGTTTTTCCTCTGTCCGATTGAATTTTTCAAAGCAATTTGTTCCAATTCCTCATCAAACCGCGCCAAATACTCTTCTATCAATTTCAGAACCTGTTCTTTATTTAAAACCTCGCATTCAGCCGGTATTCGTTCTTTAAACCACAAAATCTTTTCACCAATTAGGTTTTGTTTTATATGTGTACCAACTTTATTTTGTTCTTTCTTTTCGCTTTTCTTGATTTTACTTATAACTTTTAAAGTTTTTCTGCTATTAGGATGTTTTAATTTCTCTATATTATTCTTTATTTTAGGCATTTTTAACAATGTTTTGGTTATATAAACGAATCACGTGCACTCTGACACAATATTTATTATAATGTCAAATTTGACAACGTCAAAAACATGCATTTACAAGGCCAGTAAGTGCCCAAGGTTTTTCTTTCAATTAATTTGTCCAGGATTTCTTTGGAAGTACTGTAACTTTTGCTGTTAATTCTACAAATATATTACCTACATATGTCTGAAACACATCTTGTATTTTAAATCTCATCCCGATTCTTTTTATCTTAATGATTTAATTCTCATGTTTTTTTTTTTTAATTGATTAATTTTAAATTGATATATTGATTGTGTTTTAGCCATTGTAATTTATTAACAAGTTTAAACACATTTCTCAAAAAAGCTTTTACTGTTTTTGTAAACTGTTTCTTGTGTATGTCGTAATATGTCAAATTGTCAATTGTCAAATCTGTTAACCTGTAAAACTGTAAACTAGGAAGACAAAGTGCTATTTGTTATTGTTTGATTTTTCACCTTATTGTAAAATATAATCATGTTCAAAAGACCAAAACCAGGAGAAGATGAGGAGGATCTTCTTCACATGCAGGAAGAATTTCTCAGGGAGAAGGAAAAAAATAATATACAGCCCGCAGCAGCAGTTACGAATTTACGTCCGGATATAAAACGACCGAATACCGACTCAGGTAATCGGAAACCTTCAAAATATGCTAGGTCTAAAGGTCTTACCTATCATTCGGAAACGCAAGGTAATACAAGTTCGGTCATGGGAAATATTTTAGAAAAAAATTACGATGCTGATCCCCCAGTATCACTCTCGGAAGGTGACGATGACTATGTATACTTTCCTAAAGTTATTCCATCATTATTAGGTGAAATAGTCGAAAAGAATATTCCAGATTTTGTAGACTTTGGCACTAGAGTTATGCCTGCTCAAGGATTCCCTGAAGCTACAAAATTTGAAACATCTGAATCTAAGATTCAGAAAACTGCTGATAAAGAAGAAAGTACAAAAATGGATGTGGATACATCCAACATTAATTTGCCAACAAAAAGCATTATGGTATCATCAACCGATGCGAGTGACATCTCTAAAGAAAACACAAAAGTACTTAAGGACATGTCTGAAAAAGAGATTTTAGAAGAGCAAAAAAAATTACTTTCAACCCTGGACCCTAAGCTTATACAGTATATAAAATCCAAAAGACAGTCAGGACAAAATTCAAATAAAGAACAGAAACCAAAAAAAGAAGTAACATTTGACACACAAAATGCACCAAATAAAAATATAGACGAGCAAATGGATACTGAAATAATTGTAGAAGATGATAGTCTATGGGACAATGATATTTTATCACATCCTCAAGTTAACAAATGGCTGCATTTTGATTCACTCGAAAAGGATAAATTAGAGTGGATCAAAGGCATACAAGTAAGCAAAACCATCAAAGCTGATGAACCTTATGAAGCACGATTTGATTTTAGAGGATACCTCTTGCCATACACTATGGAGTACAACGAACAGACTAAGACTTTATTCCACCATGGTGATGAACCCCATCGGCCAGGTTATTCTATAACTGAATTGATTGAACTAACTCGGTCAACTGTTACTCAACAAAAAGTCATGGCGTTGAACACAATTGCTGGTATCCTAGAATACTACAGTGCTGGTACATACAAAAACATTATAGAAATACCATTGAGCAAATTATTTTTCATCATTAGAATAGCCATGGATGAGAATAAAATTATTGTTTTAGAACCTGCTTTAAAGGCAATGAGGAACTTGATATACAATAGGATAGATGAGGCTAGCCTTGATGCATTAATAGGTTTCGAGGAAGGCACCATACAGCCTTGTCTTGAAAATGATAAGTCGGAAATGGAAGAGTTAGAGTCTAAAGAATCTGAATTTAATGACTTCCATTTAGCAGAGATTGACATTATAACTGCACTCTTAAGAACAGAAGTTCTTCAAAGGATGTTCTATATTCTAGATACCATAAGACCTAGTTTTAACTGTGTTCAATATTGTTTGCAAATATTAACACGACTAGCTCGGGATTCATTTGAAACTGCACAAAAAATAATTGAAATGGAATATTTAATGAACACTATAATCAAGAACTTTCTTCCAATTAATTCTATTAACTTTGTGTTTGAACCACAAATTGTGTATAAAAGAAAGCCAATATTAGCTGCGTTGAAGCTTATCAGAATATTATCACTGCAAACTGGTGATATTACACATGTTTTGCTGAATAAATATGGTATTTTAAAACCAATTTCTGAATACATAAGTTCTAAAGTAGACCGTTCCTATGGGTTAAAGATTCAGATTGAAGCTTATTGTGTATTATCCAATTTCTTACATTTTGGCCTTGGGATTGAAACAGCAATATCTCTGAGTCCTGTCATTATGACAACATTCTACAATCATGTTGAAACCACTGATATTTTTACAAATTCATCCATTTTATCTGCAACACATGCCGCAGTGGTGTTACAGCTTTTGAGTAGACTTTTACATTGTAACTTACAAGGATTCCATTCGCATAAAACGCAGATGTATCCCTTAGTCAAGGATGGTGTTCAGAAGTGGACTAGACAGCTATGTTACGCTGATGATTATACCTGTGGACATTTACGACTACTTTGCTCTGCATTAGACTTATGTAAAACAGTCATAATGGTTGAATGCTTGCCAATGAAAGTTTTAAATGACTCTCTGATATTATTATTCCAATCTCAAGGTTTTGAAAGAGTCATCAGGAACCTCATACTCAGCTCAAATTTACTGTCAGGCTTGGACAGTAAAGATTTAATGTTCACAAAAAATTTGATGAGCCTTGGAGGCTCTGCAATAGACACATCGCAAAAAGTTCTCCCAGTCCTAAATATTTTATCACCAGTACCGTTTTTGGCGTCTTTATCGAGCTTGCTGACTTACATGAATGAAAAAGATATTTCTGAGTCATTTTTAAGGCATATGTTGCTATATCTAAATGAGTTGGGTAAAAGAGTGCCAAGCCTCTGTGATAATTGGTTTACTAGGATGGAAACTAATTTAGTCATTAATATCATTAAGCTTTCAACAAGATTTAATATGTCGGAAGGAAGCAAAGACCTGCTTTATTCTGTGGCAAACAAATTGTGTTATATCTTGAGAATGGACAAGAAACATGACCTGTATTTTCTATTTAATAATATCGTTTTCAATAAACATTGGTTCACAGCAGAAAGGCTCTTAAATCTCGTGACAGTATCGGATCCTGAAAGTTTCAGTAAAGCTCTAACATCGATCGAAAATATAAAAATGTGTTATCGCAAAGTAGTGAATATGAACTACAGAGAAACAGGGCCCAACATTTTGTTAAAGTGTTGGCGAGAACCCATTTTGCCGCGGGATTGGATTTATATGCCGATTTTAACACTTTATACTAGGCATCAAGACGCAAGTAATATTCCTAAGCTTGTAGGAGAACATGCTAAGAAAATCGCTGAGAGAGTTGCAGCAGAGAGAGAATTTATAGTTATTAGCAGTCTAGAGTGGATATTGTTCAATGAATTATGTTTCCCAGAACTTCTGAAAGATATTGACGTTACAGACAGATTTTGTCGTATCATGTGTGTATTTCTTAGCGACAATTCTTTGTTTCTGGAGCCTAGAGTAAAGATTTTGTTACAAAAATGCTCTGAGGCTTTATTTAAAAAGAAATCTAAGTTCAATTTCGATAAACCATTGGTTGGTTTGCATAATTTTCAAGACTTTTATACTCAGTTCTTGGAGCAATTCCAGGCTGTAAGTTACGGGGATTGTACATTTGCTGCATGTGTTTTAGTGCCGTTAGCTCAGAAGCATAATGTGAAATGGAGAAAACTGCTGTGGTCAGAGTATGCAGGATGTCTAAGGGCTCTTGATTGTCCAGAAAGCATGCTATGCTATGACATGAATGAATATTTATATCCAGAAGAGACAGATGAATCTCTAATAAAATCATACTTACAAGCGATTTCTACTAATTTACTGCGACCAGACACGATTGCTTACAAAATAGCATACCATCATGTTCAAAGTTATAAAAAGAGAATATGTACATAAAGAGCTGTATTAGTTTAAGTCTATTAATTATTAAATTATCATATACCAATGTACCTTGTCTTTTATTATAATCTAAAAATGTGCTTATAGACCAGAATAAAGAAACGATGTAGGACTCTGACGGTAGGCGTACTTTATAAATTTTTAGATCCAATTTGTGCAATAAATTGTCGCCTGCGGTATTTCCGGACTAATACGACCTTCAAGAAAAGAGCGCGCTCCTGCTTCAAAGGCCGGTAACGCGCTTGTGATTAGAGTTGCAGGTATTCAGGACTCGAACCGACTAAAACCGCACGCCGTCGCCGGGTACTAATAGCCGGGGAACCAGGTATACCCTAGAAAGGAAGTCCCTGGTGCCCCGACATACCTCGGGTCATCTACAGACGAGTAGACGACCCCCCCCGTGTGGGAACCCCATGTTCCCTTGCTTGTTTACGCCCTACATAAAAGAAGTCCATTTTGACTTTTGCTACAATTTTTTTGTCTCACTCTGGCTATATCAGATAGTGTACTTGACGGCAGTTAGATTGCACTATGTGTTGTATATGTAGTCAGAATTTTATGCCTTATAAACGACTGATTACTTAGTTCACTTTTTGAATAATGGCTTTGACTGTCGTGTATTCTGATGATACGCTAAATAATTACTTAAAATAATAGGAGCGACGCCACTAGTGTTGCTTTATGTTGAAAAAATAAGAATACTCAGCACGTTTTTTTCCTAGCGTTTTGCTATGAAATGCTTTTTCTATGATTTTTAATGTTAACGATATTATTTTTTAGAAAAAAAAGACACAGTCAGCCGTAGGTATCTTTGAAGATAAAAGAGTTTTAAATTGGTTTTGATTCCATCAGTTTTTAAATTTAATTCGTCAATTTTAAAACAAATTTCTGTATAAAATATGACGACATTTAAATAATCCTGAACTGAACCAAAAACAGCTGTTACATAACTACGCGTGAATAAGTTCTACAATATTGCACAGAATGTACCTATAGGCTTGGTTGGGGTATGTATGGTGGAATCTCTCTGTTTAAAGTGGTACTTTATGAGCTTGTAAATTCTTGGAGATCTGATATCGATATACTTGCATAGTAAACATTTCTAAATTATGAAGTTGATAAATAAGTACATAACCATCCTGAAGGTAAGTAGTTGCAGCTAACAAAAAGGTGTCATTCCTGTATGGGCTACGCAAGAATTACTCTTGCCTCTGGATGGATTAAAGAAACGAAATTGAGAGCACGATTGTACTTGTATTTATAAGCTTACATAACACATGTATGCAATACATTAGAAAAACGTGAAATTTGAAAAATATAGTTTTACACTTTTTAAAAGCACATTTCGATAGGTTTGTAACTTACTTTTTGAATGCCACCATTAATTTGGCGCGAAAGTAACTTTATTTGACATTCAGAATTTGACAGAAGTTGCAGGTGTTTTCTGTTTACGCTCTGTATCGAAAGCTTTAAGTTGAAAAAAACATGTTATCCTTATAATCATTGTACATTATTCGATTCGTACCCCTTCATGTAGTTCCAAGATGTTCATAGAAGATATTAAAAATGATTTCTACAATGTACTTCTCGGGAACGTAAGTTAAAAATGTTGTGTTGTTTACAACCAAACTTAAAGCTAATAATAGCTCTTTCTACTTTTCAGAGGGTCTTACTGCTAGTTCATTACGACGTAGACGCTATATGCACTTGTAAAATACTGCAGGGATTGTTTAAATGCGATAACGTATCATATACTCTAGTGCCGGTGGGGGGTATTTCGGAGTTGAAGCAGGCTTACGAAGAAAATAATGAAGAAATAAAGTATGTAGTGTTAATAAACTGTGGTGGGACTATAGACCTGGTTGATATTCTGCAGCCCGAGGAGGATGTGGTGTTTTTCGTACTAGACGCTCACAAGCCTACTGATGTGTGTAATGTCTATAGTGATGGCCAGGTATGTATTTAAATAAACTTCTCTTTTAAATATCCAAGTGTTATCGAAGCAACTTTGTTATCAAATACTGATTTTGTACTTTTAAAAACTCTTGAAAAAATGCCTAGGTCTGTAATTAATTATTATAATTATTATTTATTGCAAAACATTGTTTCTATTATCACCTATTCACGTGGTACGCTAAATAATTACTTAAAATAATCCAGTCTATTTTTATTTATTTATTTTATGGTATAAGGGGACAACGAGCAGACGGGTGTCCTGATGGTGAGCAACTACTGCCGCCCATGGACACCTGCAACTTAATAGTCACAAGTGTGTTACTGCCCTTGGAGTCCCTTCCGTTAAGTCAGCGGAAGGGGGGATTTGGGCTCCGGTAATGTCACTCACTCAGTGAAAGGCAACGAAAGAATTGCTTAACATCGGTTTTCTGTGAGGCTGTGGTATCTCTCTGGTCGAGCCGACCCATTCATGCAGAACCATGGCTCTCCCACCGTCTTTTGAATGTGTTGACAATATAATGATATTTAGTACTCATGCTGATATATTTGTGAATAGTCACAGCAGATTCATAGAGGTACTGTACTGCAGTACACTAGGTCAAAAAAGCCAGGGTCATATATCCATGTGTTTGTCTTAAGATTATTAACTTTAATCATTTCAGCAAAAAAATTACTAAAGTTACATTTTGCTGTCATTAAGTAATTATTTTTATGGCTTGGGTAAAATTTATTATTTTGTAAATTAAAACTAAAATTAAAATAAATTTTAAATAATTTTTTTAAATTGAAATCGATCTAAGTGGTGTGCAATGGGAGAGGCCTATGTCCAGCAGTGGACTGCGATAGGCTGATGATGATGATGATGAAATTAAAACGGGTATTTGTTTTATTGTTGCAAATATAAAAGTTGGTTAAATTGTTTTCAGGTAAGGCTTGTGTATAAAGATGATGAAGAAAACATTCCTAACTATGATGATATATTCAGAGATGATGATGAAGATGAGGTGAGTGGATATATTATTGGTTTTGATATTAAAATACCTTTGATTCTTTTGGTAGCATACATTTATTACAGAATTTGTCTGTAAAAGCAGACTGCCATTGTAGATTCATCATTATCATCATTGTACATTCATCATTGTACATTTCATTCATATTAGACACTCACACCTATAGCCAGAAGGTGTAGGCAGAGGTGTTTTAAACAGCGACATTTTTCGAACTGTAATTTTAGTTTGACTTATAAAAAGGGTGAAACCTATAAACCTACTAGCTGACCCGGCAAACGTTGTATTGCAAAACAAAAAAAAATTAGGGATGGGTCACCCTTACCATTTAGGGGTATGAAAAATAGATGTTGGCCGATTCTCAGACCTACCCGATGTGCACACAAAATTTCATTAGAATCGGTCAAGCCGTTTTGGAGGAGTACGGGAACGAACATTGTGACACAAGAATTTTATATATAAGATTGTTTAAGTAATTTTATGGTTTTATTTGAGAATATTTTCATAACCATTTTCTTGAAGACCTGATAAATTTTGGTAATGTTTTAATAAAAAAAAGAGAGAGTATCCAGTTGGCTTATGTGTTCTAGAATGAAACTCAAGAGAGTGGCCATGAAGGACTGGAAGCTATGGTGGAACGCCGCCGAGAGAGGAGGGCCTGGGAAGACAGAAGAAATAATCTTATGTTCAATTATATACAATTCTCTTATTACGGGAAGCCTGTAAGTACTTCATTTTTATTACATACATAAAGAAATTACGTATAAATTTTTCACACCTAATCTATCCATGATTTTCTATCTACAGTCTATTAGTCCATCCTATAGCCTGTAAGAAATTGCTTTTTAGCGATAAGGCCGCCATTTGTAAATGTACTAAATGTACTGTATGGACTAAATTGGTGTACAATAAAGTTTATTCTATTCTAAAATGGTGGTGTTGTTCTTGTCCTATTGGCCCTTCCAACCACAGGACGGCCATATGGATGCCATTCCCAAAGGTTGATTGATGTCTGGCAGTCAGCCAGCTAAAATAGAACCTTTCCAAAACTAACAAAATACTGCTTATATCTCATTCAAAAACAGTAAAATAATAATAATAATAATATTCTACCACATACACACAACGCCATCTAGTCCCAAACTAAGCAGAGCTTGTACTATGGGTACTAGACAACTAATATAAATACATATATACTTTTTTTTTGTAAATACATACATATTATACATAGAAACACCCAGACCAAATCAAACATCAAATGTTCCTGCACACAAATGTTTGACTTGAGCGGGAATTGAACCCGCGACCTTTGAAATAGCAGTCCGTTGCACAAACCACTACGCCATCCGGTCGTCGAAAAGTTACATGTCATACATTTAGACATTGATTTCTGCAGTTTCAAGGTCTTGAAGTGGCTGAAATAAAGGATGTGGATAATAAAATTATCAAGGTTACTTTCAGTAAATATTTCGTCAGTTATTAAATTATTTACCGAGATTTGTTTACTTACCAACAAGTGAAAGTATACCCATTAAAAAGGTAGGCTATTGATACTACAGAGCGCGTGTATAGCGGTCGAGTTAGCTTGGCGCGTGTCCCGGTGCGGTTGGGCGGCGGTGTGGGCGGCCAGCGTGGCGGCCGCCGCGCAGACCGCGCTGCACTCGCGGACTCAGGCTGCCGCCCTACTGGACGCCGACTCCTTGCACCGACACCTGCCACCTGAGCATTCACAGACGGTGCGTCCATTTTTAAAACTAATTCAGATTCCATATGCACAATTTAAGAGCAGATCGTCCGGTTAAAAACTTATCCGACTTAACAAATAAATTAAAAAACTTGTACAGGGAGCGCGGGTGTGCTTGGAGAAGGACGCGTGCCTGCCGCTGTACCGGCGCTGGTCGCTGGAGGCGGCGCTGCGCCACGCGCCGGCGCTGGCGCCGCACCTGCGCCTGCACACGCTCGCCGGACACGCGCGACTGCGACAGCTACTGGCCGATTGTGGGTACGTGTATCTACAATATATATTCTGCTTGTCCAACTGAGATGGAAAAAACTTTTATTTGCTTTTAAAATGAAATTGTTCGTTCGAATATAAATAATATCATTTTTAAATATTTTTACAGGATCCCCCTTCAACAAGCTCGTCAAGCTTACCGTTCGATGGATGTAGAACTTCGCCATTCCTTGTTGACAGCACTAGAAACTGCTGCCCCGAAACATAAGCTACCGATTCCAACTCACACAACCTTTTTGCTCCAACGACCACATTCTCCGACGCTAGCGGCAATGGACGACGTGTACGCAATCATGGGACTCATAGAACACGTGAGTTGATGTTATTAAAACCAAAGTGTTACTCCATATTCCATTAAATATCAGATTTTATTCAAATATTTTAGCCCCTCGTACAGAAATTTTAAAAGCTTTTGACCACGTAGCTCACAGTTTATTCTTAACTAAAAGCAAAATCAATACGTTTATATGTATAATTAGGTGTGTAATTTTTTGACTTTACAGACATCCATTCTATAATAAACTTATCAATGACTAACGTGTTTGCGGCAAGATATTTTTTCATCAAGGTGTACTCCAGGGCACTATTATAGGCCCGATATTATTTGTGGTCATTGTAGATTTAGAAATAAAATATGTTTTCTTTCTTTCTTCTTTCTAGTCGCATCGACGCTGTTTGTCGAAGTGGCAGTATTATTGAACTGAAACAACTAATACAAGTTATTATTTTCTTGTTATTAGTGCTCGAAGCTTCTCTGCGTGATCGAATCAGGTATGAGGAGATCCGCAGACGAACCAAGGGCACTGTCATTACTCGGCGAATTGACAAATTTAAGTGGCAGTGAGCGGGACACTGACGCTATTTGCTTGCAGAAAAGATGGCCGATGGGGCCAAAAAGTTCTCGTGTGTCGACCATGTACCGGAAGATGGAGCGTGGGCTGAGCGCTACCAGGTGGTCCGACGCCTGGTGAAGTTCGCGGAAAGCCGTTGAAGCCTCGGAGGAGGCTAGCAGCCATGTGCAGAAGTAGATGCCGGATTCGGCTGCGATGATGATGATTTTCTTTGATTACGTTTTTTCATTACAGGAAACGACTCCAAAGGGCGAAGGATTTCAACTCGCGTTGTCAGTGCTAGACATTGAGAGCGGAGAGAATGAAAGTCGTCGACTGGGTTCTCTTTCGGCTCAAAGAGCCTTGGAAGCCGTCGGGAGGGTCGTACACGCCACTCTCAGCGGGAAGAAGCTTCACCTCGCCGGACCCTTTAGTTATTTTATCATACCAGAGGTATGAAGAAGAAGTTTATATTTAAATCGTACGCTACGCCTTCGCGGCGACCCTAGTAACTTTGTTTCTAACCGAACGGGTCTAAAGTAGTCTGATTACGTTGTCTCGCAGGGCACCCCGGAGGCGCAGGTGGTGAAGGGCCCGCTGTGGCTGGGCGTGGCGGCGCGGTGGGCCAGCGCGGCCAGCGGCGGGGCGCGCGCGCTCGTGGCCAGCGCGCCGCACGGGGACCGCGCCTGCCTGCTGCTGGGCGTGCCGCCGCGCTACTCGCAGGAGCCGCGCAAGTCAGTACACACACACTCGCCCCTGTGGCTCGTACACACTGGGGACTGGGGACCGCGCCTGCCTGCTGCTGGGCGTGCCGCCGCGCTACTCGCAGGAGCCGCGCAAGTCAGTACACACACACTCGCCCCTGTGGCTCGTACACACTGGGGACTGGGGACCGCGCCTGCCTGCTGCTGGGCGTGCCGCCGCGCTACTCGCAGGAGCCGCGCAAGTCAGTACACACACACTCGCCCCTGTGGCTCGTACACACTGGGGACTGGGGACCGCGCCTGCCTGCTGCTGGGCGTGCCGCCGCGCTACTCGCAGGAGCCGCGCAAGTCAGTACACACACACTCGCCCCTGTGGCTCGTACACACTGGGGACTGGGGACCGCGCCTGCCTGCTGCTGGGCGTGCCGCCGCGCTACTCGCAGGAGCCGCGCAAGTCAGTACACACACACTCGCCCCTGTGGCTCGTACACACTGGGGACTGGGGACCGCGCCTGCCTGCTGCTGGGCGTGCCGCCGCGCTACTCGCAGGAGCCGCGCAAGTCAGTACACACACACTCGCCCCTGTGGCTCGTACACACTGGGGACTGGGGACCGCGCCTGCCTGCTGCTGGGCGTGCCGCCGCGCTACTCGCAGGAGCCGCGCAAGTCAGTACACACACACTCGCCCCTGTGGCTCGTACACACTGGGGACTGGGGACCGCGCCTGCCTGCTGCTGGGCGTGCCGCCGCGCTACTCGCAGGAGCCGCGCAAGTCAGTACACACACACTCGCCCCTGTGGCTCGTACACACTGGGGACTGGGGACCGCGCCTGCCTGCTGCTGGGCGTGCCGCCGCGCTACTCGCAGGAGCCGCGCAAGTCAGTACACACACACTCGCCCCTGTGGCTCGTACACACTGGGGACTGGGGACCGCGCCTGCCTGCTGCTGGGCGTGCCGCCGCGCTACTCGCAGGAGCCGCGCAAGTCAGTACACACACACTCGCCCCTGTGGCTCGTACACACTGGGGACTGGGGACCGCGCCTGCCTGCTGCTGGGCGTGCCGCCGCGCTACTCGCAGGAGCCGCGCAAGTCAGTACACACACACTCGCCCCTGTGGCTCGTACACACTGGGGACTGGGGACCGCGCCTGCCTGCTGCTGGGCGTGCCGCCGCGCTACTCGCAGGAGCCGCGCAAGTCAGTACACACACACTCGCCCCTGTGGCTCGTACACACTGGGGACTGGGGACCGCGCCTGCCTGCTGCTGGGCGTGCCGCCGCGCTACTCGCAGGAGCCGCGCAAGTCAGTACACACACACTCGCCCCTGTGGCTCGTACACACTGGGGACTGGGGACCGCGCCTGCCTGCTGCTGGGCGTGCCGCCGCGCTACTCGCAGGAGCCGCGCAAGTCAGTACACACACACTCGCCCCTGTGGCTCGTACACACTGGGGACTGGGGACCGCGCCTGCCTGCTGCTGGGCGTGCCGCCGCGCTACTCGCAGGAGCCGCGCAAGGCAGTACACACACACTCGCCCCTGTGGCTCGTACACACTGGGGACTGGGGACCGCGCCTGCCTGCTGCTGGGCGTGCCGCCGCGCTACTCGCAGGAGCCGCGCAAGTCAGTACACACACACTCGCCCCTGTGGCTCGTACACACTGGGGACTGGGGACCGCGCCTGCCTGCTGCTGGGCGTGCCGCCGCGCTACTCGCAGGAGCCGCGCAAGTCAGTACACACACACTCGCCCCTGTGGCTCGTACACACTGGGGACTGGGGACCGCGCCTGCCTGCTGCTGGGCGTGCCGCCGCGCTACTCGCAGGAGCCGCGCAAGTCAGTACACACACACTCGCCCCTGTGGCTCGTACACACTGGGGACTGGGGACCGCGCCTGCCTGCTGCTGGGCGTGCCGCCGCGCTACTCGCAGGAGCCGCGCAAGGCAGTACACACACACTCGCCCCTGTGGCTCGTACACACTGGGGACTGGGGACCGCGCCTGCCTGCTGCTGGGCGTGCCGCCGCGCTACTCGCAGGAGCCGCGCAAGTCAGTACACACACACTCGCCCCTGTGGCTCGTACACACTGGGGACTGGGGACCGCGCCTGCCTGCTGCTGGGCGTGCCGCCGCGCTAGTCGCAGGAGCCGCGCAAGTCAGTACACACACACTCGCCCCTGTGGCTCGTACACACTGGGGACTGGGGACCGCGCCTGCCTGCTGCTGGGCGTGCCGCCGCGCTACTCGCAGGAGCCGCGCAAGTCAGTACACACACACTCGCCCCTGTGGCTCGTACACACTGGGGACTGGGGACCGCGCCTGCCTGCTGCTGGGCGTGCCGCCGCGCTACTCGCAGGAGCCGCGCAAGTCAGTACACACACACTCGCCCCTGTGGCTCGTACACACTGGGGACTGGGGACCGCGCCTGCCTGCTGCTGGGCGTGCCGCCGCGCTACTCGCAGGAGCCGCGCAAGTCAGTACACACACACTCGCCCCTGTGGCTCGTACACACTGGGGACTGGGGACCGCGCCTGCCTGCTGCTGGGCGTGCCGCCGCGCTACTCGCAGGAGCCGCGCAAGTCAGTACACACACACTCGCCCCTGTGGCTCGTACACACTGGGGACTGGGGACCGCGCCTGCCTGCTGCTGGGCGTGCCGCCGCGCTACTCGCAGGAGCCGCGCAAGTCAGTACACACACACTCGCCCCTGTGGCTCGTGCACACTGGGGACTGGGGACCGCGCCTGCCTGCTGCTGGGCGTGCCGCCGCGCTACTCGCAGGAGCCGCGCAAGTCAGTACACACACACTCGCCCCTGTGGCTCGTACACACTGGGGACTGGGGACCGCGCCTGCCTGCTGCTGGGCGTGCCGCCGCGCTACTCGCAGGAGCCGCGCAAGTCAGTACACACACACTCGCCCCTGTGGCTCGTACACACTGGGGACTGGGGACCGCGCCTGCCTGCTGCTGGGCGTGCCGCCGCGCTACTCGCAGGAGCCGCGCAAGTCAGTACACACACACTCGCCCCTGTGGCTCGTACACACTGGGGACTGGGGACCGCGCCTGCCTGCTGCTGGGCGTGCCGCCGCGCTACTCGCAGGAGCCGCGCAAGTCAGTACACACACACTCGCCCCTGTGGCTCGTACACACTGGGGACTGGGGACCGCGCCTGCCTGCTGCTGGGCGTGCCGCCGCGCTACTCGCAGGAGCCGCGCAAGTCAGTACACACACACTCGCCCCTGTGGCTCGTACACACTGGGGACTGGGGACCGCGCCTGCCTGCTGCTGGGCGTGCCGCCGCGCTACTCGCAGGAGCCGCGCAAGTCAGTACACACACACTCGCCCCTGTGGCTCGTACACACTGGGGACTGGGGACCGCGCCTGCCTGCTGCTGGGCGTGCCGCCGCGCTACTCGCAGGAGCCGCGCAAGTCAGTACACACACACTCGCCCCTGTGGCTCGTACACACTGGGGACTGGGGACCGCGCCTGCCTGCTGCTGGGCGTGCCGCCGCGCTACTCGCAGGAGCCGCGCAAGGCAGTACACACACACTCGCCCCTGTGGCTCGTACACACTGGGGACTGGGGACCGCGCCTGCCTGCTGCTGGGCGTGCCGCCGCGCTACTCGCAGGAGCCGCGCAAGGCAGTACACACACACTCGCCCCTGTGGCTCGTACACACTGGGGACTGGGGACCGCGCCTGCCTGCTGCTGGGCGTGCCGCCGCGCTACTCGCAGGAGCCGCGCAAGTCAGTACACACACACTCGCCCCTGTGGCTCGTACACACTGGGGACTGGGGACCGCGCCTGCCTGCTGCTGGGCGTGCCGCCGCGCTACTCGCAGGAGCCGCGCAAGTCAGTACACACACACTCGCCCCTGTGGCTCGTACACACTGGGGACTGGGGACCGCGCCTGCCTGCTGCTGGGCGTGCCGCCGCGCTACTCGCAGGAGCCGCGCAAGGCAGTACACACACACTCGCCCCTGTGGCTCGTACACACTGGGGACTGGGGACCGCGCCTGCCTGCTGCTGGGCGTGCCGCCGCGCTACTCGCAGGAGCCGCGCAAGGCAGTACACACACACTCGCCCCTGTGGCTCGTACACACTGGGGACTGGGGACCGCGCCTGCCTGCTGCTGGGCGTGCCGCCGCGCTACTCGCAGGAGCCGCGCAAGGCAGTACACACACACTCGCCCCTGTGGCTCGTACACACTGGGGACTGGGGACCGCGCCTGCCTGCTGCTGGGCGTGCCGCCGCGCTACTCGCAGGAGCCGCGCAAGGCAGTACACACACACTCGCCCCTGTGGCTCGTACACACTGGGGACTGGGGACCGCGCCTGCCTGCTGCTGGGCGTGCCGCCGCGCTACTCGCAGGAGCCGCGCAAGTCAGTACACACACACTCGCCCCTGTGGCTCGTACACACTGGGGACTGGGGACCGCGCCTGCCTGCTGCTAGTCATTGCATTGAGCCAGTATTCAACATAAACAGAGCAAGGCTACAGATGTAACATAGGATATAAGAATGATCTTATATCCTATCTTATTTAATGATAATTTTTCTAACAAAACGTTTAAGATTATGCGATTAAATTTAATTGTAGCGTATTTTTCCAGTTTATTCGGCGCAGCGTTCGAACAGGCGGCTAACAAGTGTGGTGCGTCAGTGTCGCTGGACCACGTGGACTCTTCCATCATCTCTCTGCCCATCGCTCAACGCGCACAATTCCTGGACGCCCTCACAGCTCTACTAGCGTGAACATGTTCAAGGGACAATAGAACATTTCATCCGCAGAATGAAATTAACCAAGGAGCCGCCATATTGTCAGCATCACAGTTAAAACAGGTCCCAAGTTTTTTCTAACGTTATCTCATAAGTCGTGCTCGTAAGACATAAACCCACCTTACATATAAAACACACTCAAAATTCTCTCATGTTTTAAATCAATTTATTTTCGGTCAAAATAGCCCTTTTCCAAGATTTTTAACTAGCAAGTAAGCACACCTCGTGATAATAGTTTTTCTGTACCTATATAGACAATCATAATACCAGTAAATTTAGACCGGTACGATTACTTGAAAGGCCCGACGGGGGCGCCTAACGAAGCGACCAGGCGCGTCCGTGTCAGGTATCGCACTTGTGATTTATTTACTACACATTAATTCATTTATTAAAGTAATAAAAATATAAAGTTGACCTAAAGTTATTGTTTGTTAAAAGAATATTTTAGCTAACTATAGCACTATATAGCACCTTATAGAAAGCTGGACACAACAGCAATCGCCAGAACTCTGAAAAGGTTTAAGTCTTAATTCTTCAGTAAACAAAACCAGTGAATAAAAAATGAAATTTAAAAAACATTGCCGATGCCCTACTTATTTTTATATACAATTATTATTTATTTTTATATATATAAAAAAAAAAAGGAAAAGTTATAGATTTCTTTCAGCGTTAATGAAATAATAATTAGGATTAATTGACGAATAATTAGGATTGCCATAAATATATTTGAACCTGTTCAGAAGATTAATCGAATTTAATTTTGTTAATATTTTCAATTAAAACAATAATTTTAGCTCTCTATAAACTGAATTATAGATGTATTTATAAATTAGAAAGAAATCGCTTACTTTATTAACCGACTTAAAAAAAGGAAGTCTCAATTCTTTTTGTTACCTCTGACCTCTGAAATTTCTGAACCAATTTGAATAATAACCTTTGATCACATAAACCATAGACGTCAGACAATTAAAAAGAAAATGGCCGAGTCTTAGATAGTCGCGTATGATGTGTTTGAAACCAGGTCTACTCAATAAAAAAAAAAGAGATTGAATAACAGCTCATCAATAATATTGGTGGTATTTTTTCTTTAAATCTAAATGGAATATTGATTGATGAAGAACACAGTTTATTAAAAATATTCCAGTAATTATTGAAAAATAACATTTAACCTGAAGGTGAACCCGATGTACTTACAACAAGAAAAATCCTTAAAAAAAAAGTTGAACCGACTTCAGAAAATACTTATAAAGAACACTAAAAACCTAGCAGCAAACGTGGTTCATTTGCTGTCATTTTCTGAAGAGTTGTGTCACCGAAACTTGTCATCAGATAGATCTATATGAAATTTAAATAAGACCATTTTGGAATAAAACCTTTTCGAACAAAAAAAGAATTTTGCAAATTCGCCTATATACGACGGAGTTATGTTCGAACATACATAAAAGAATTATAAACATCCGAATTACCTAATAATCTTCCTTTTTGAAGTCGGTTAAAAAATTAAAATAAACTTAAGTTTTAAATACATCTATATAACCAATAGACAAATACCAATCACTCAAAATATAATTATTTAAATATATGTTCTACAAAATACGATATAATTGCAGATATGTATGTGTTGTCTGTTGCATAATTCATTTGTTAGCTAAGGTATATTAGTTTTAATATCTATGTATTTTATGGAAAATAATGAAATACCGGATTTGGAGCCATTTGTGCCACAGCATGGCGCTGCTCGGAGTAAATTACTGTTTTTTTATGAAGTACACATAGAGGCAGAGTAGAAACTGGCTCAAAAATGCTTAGACTCAAAAGTATCTTAAATTACGAGTAGATTTCAAATCATATAATTAAGTTACCTTGAAATCGTTCGAAAGAAACCCAAAAAATATATGTATGTATATTATAAGGCCAGCTATATAAATATAAACACATCTCCTAAGACTTCTCGTTCGGGTCGCTCTTGGCAGAGCGCTCGTGATCACGTTGAGATGTCCTCGTCGGCGCTAGAAGCGGACACAGCAATTCGTACAATCTCCCGCCGTCTCTCCCTATTCGCAGACTGTCACACACAGTTTCCTCAATTTTGCAACTAACATACCTTGGCAATTTTATGTTAATTAAATTGACTGTAATTATAATTATCAAGTAAGTAGTATTTATTTATAGAAAACTTAGTTGCTATAAGAAATAAAGTAAATAATTCATACAATTTATATTTTATTTTCATGTAAAACATATGGTATTGGACATTAACCTCCTTTTAATTTATTTCTCTCCTACCTTTAAAATGTACACTAATGTTATAAAGTTGAAGAGTTTGTTTGTTTGAACGCGCTAATCTCAGGAACTACGGGTCCCATTTAAAAAAAAATCTTTCAATATTAGCCTATATATCACCACGCTAAGACCAATAGGAGCACCAATGAAGAATGTTGCAAAAACGGGGAACTTTTTTCCTTTTAAAAGACGCAGCAGAAGTTGCGTGAGTCAGCTAGTAATTAATAAGGTACTTATAGCCAAGAAATATTCTGCCAAGACTTGGATAATATGGAGGTGCATAGACAAAACACTGAGGAATGAATGTGTTGATGCCTGTTTTCTTTAAAGGCATAGCTGTTTTAGGCAACTATTCTTCATTTTGGTTGGATTATCCTTTCGCTTGGCCCAAAACACAGTTTAGGACCATACACTGGATAACATGTCATTCTTTAAAAACCCTATATTCACGACAGCAATGTTATTGTACAAAAACATTTATTATTTTAAAATTTACTAAAAAAATATTTGTATTTTGTCGCCATACCAACATCTACTCTTAAAACTTTAATGGAGATAAGAGCTTCCATCTTTCTGTAGAAACATCACAATTATGCAGTACTTAGTTTCAGCAATTACCAGAAAATAAAAAATCACTAGTTAAACCAATATTTATTATTTATAAACCTTCGAATCATATCAAGAGCCCATTTCGGTTGATCTTTGGGCACCATATGACCAGAATTGCGTACCAACACATCAGTTAAGTTCCCTGCAATCTTCACATAACCAGCCACTTGATCGCCAACTTTCCAAATGTACCTGAGAGCATCCTTGTATAGCTTAGAACCTGGATAATCCAAATTATTCAAGAAATTCTCAGTCAGTGGATAAGCAACAATAATATCTAATTGTCCATTATAGAACATAATGCGGTAATGTTGCAACAGTTCTGCAACCAATGGTGCAACAGATTTCATGATGTCATATGATAAATGTAACTGAACATTCTCCCCATCACTGAACGGGAGCCCACCAACATGCATACCAAGCCTTATATTGACATTTTGCAGTATAGATTTTAACACACCATCATCCTCAAAGTGTTTTGACTGTAAAAAATTATAGTAATATTCAAAGCCTGTATATAAATTAAAATAAGAGAATGCATTTAATTGGCCATTCATTAATCTGTCCATGAGAACATCAGCTTGTTCCCAATTTTGTTTCTTAATTTGTTTAGTTATTTCTTCTTGATATTTCAGAAAAACTTTCAACTGATTATTGTCTATTAAACCATGTTGGTAAAGGTAGTTTCCATAATCTAACTGGTTGATAGGATCACAGTATGCATTACCCATAGCAAGCCCCTTAAGATTTATTTTGTCATTTCCTATATTCACTGCATTTTCTTCATGTATTTTCATAGCTAGGGTTGGTATATATTTGCCAGCATACGATTCCCCAGTGAGGTACATGTCATTGTATCTCAGATGAGGGAAAAGTTTAAGAAATTGTTGCAAACTGCTGAACAGACCTTGTGCAACACAATCCTCATTGTTACAGTAACCTTGACTATTCTGTGTAAAGCTAAATCCAGTGCCTACAGGATTATCAATGAAAATTAAATGATAATCTAAAGCCCAGTGATATTTTCTCAATGCAAAACCTTCTTTCTTGGCTTTCAATGGTCCCAGTTCCTCGAACAGCCCGAAAAGTGAACTGCCACCAGGTCCGCCTTGGAGCCATAGAATGATTGGCGCCGATTCCACTTTTGAAAATGGCGGGAAGTACCAAAAATACAAATTAGATTTATACTTTTCACAAACTGTAAAGAAACCAGCATGACTTCGAAATCCAATTTTATCCGTTATAGATACTCGAGAGAGATTCTGAGCAAGGGCTATTTGACCTTTGTTTAAATATGGTGTAATTATAAGAGGTTTGTCAATGTTTTCTGGCAGTTTTACATTTACATCTATTCTTGGGTATACGTTTGGAAAATAAATAGCGCCACCCAGAGAAATTAAGCTGATTAATGCGATCAAACGTATTGTTAAATGTTTTAGGTAGAGATAATGAACCGTCATTATCCGAAACAAACCAACTCATTCATAACGACACTCAGCGTTTAAAATATATAACCCAATGTTCCCTCTACTAGTAGACGGCATTCTGCATCGTGTTGGATTAATTCCGTAACGTCACAAGCGGTTTGAAGTGCCGTCTTACGTTTGTTTTGAACTTTTGATGGTATGTCATCGACCCTTTGAAGTGACACAACTCGTTCATAAATGTAGAATAAAGAAAATCTAAATCGTATGGTGAATTATAGAAAGTATATTTTGAACGGAACTATTTATGTAATTTATAAGACTTATAAATAAACATATTGATATACTATACTGACACTAAGTTGTTACTCAGGGGTCAATTGACTTTGATTACCTAAACAAAAATAAGTAAACACTCAAGGATTATATACCAGAGCGTGTCGATCTCTTTATTTTATATCCCAAGCAAACGTATGTCACAATTTCTGTGTAGCGTGATAACCATTTTCTTATCACGCAACTCATTCAATCAAACTGTCTTCCAAAAGTTCTGCGTTACCGTACCGTTTGAGTACTTCCACGAAGTTTTATTTAGATGAGACAATCAAGGCCAGGTTTCAAAGAAAATTAAAGGTATATTACTTCCACACTTGTGTGTGAAACAAATGCTGTCAGCTTTCATTATAGTGTGAAATAAACTATAGATGCATACTAATAAAAAAACAATGCCAAATCGTGTCACTCAAATGTATTTATATTTATAAATGCATGTTTTTGAAATGTCCTCAAAGACCGGCAACGAGTTTGTGACTCCTGCTCGGCGGTAGTCGCTTTTCATTAGGTCACCGTCTGCTCGTTTGCCTTCTCTTCCATGAAAAAATGCTTTCCAGTTTTACAGACTGACTTCATTTTTAGAGTTCCCACAAGTATCCAATAACATGATTTTTTTAAATCAAATTATTGCATTAGTGCACACAAGTTTATTTATCTGTTCTGAAAGATGACGGAATGCCAGGCTGATGCAATTATATGAGTTGAGTAGTAGTAGTAGCGAGTTTGAGTTTGGTTTTAAACCGAATCACATTGATTATTTATATCGTTTGGAAACAAAAAAAAATGGTTATTTACTAAAACAGAGTTACTAATTTAACAACAGAATTTTTATACTTAGGTAGGTAATACCTATGCTTGGTCGGACGGACCAACGAGAACTAAACCCGCTAAGTATATCAATATCAGTATATCACACATTTCAAAAATCTTAGCACAGTTTATAGGTACTTATTACTCCGTCATATCCCTACCTCGGTAAAATCAAGAAAATGTAGTTATAATTAAGTAAAACATAGCCATCAACACCAACCGTTTTAAATCGAAAATAAAATGGATTGGTTTAATTGGTTTTAAACCGGCCTTACATCTATAGTCAAACCGATTATACAGTTTTTTTCGACATTATTGTACTTTGTATACTGCATAAAAATAATTTAATGAAGAATAATAAAATGAGATTTAACCGTTAGTATTGTTAGCAACACTGCGGAAATTAATGTCACGCAGGACACTTATCGGAGGTATCGGCTGAAAAAAGAAACCGGCCACCAATGCAAAACTTTTATTTTGTTTATTGTCATGAGTACTCGTATGATAAAAAGGTGAAGGCAAAAGGTTAGATCGCTCACTTACTGGTTTAGTGTCCGTGTCATTGTCGGCTCGATATGGCGCGTATACTATTATTGTTTGTAATTCTGCAAATATTTTTTACTGCCGACTGTTATTTTCATTGGTACCCTAAATTAAACCTGGGTGAGTGCGATGATGGAGATGCTGGCGAGCCACTATTTCTGACTCCGTATGTGGAGAGCGGCAATATTGAAGATGGTAGGAGAAGAGCACGAGTGCCGTTCACTGAAAGTCTTCGTATTAAGAGTTATTCAGGATATTTCACTGTGAACAAAACTTATGACTCCAATCAGTTCTTTTGGTATTTTCCTGCGATGATTCCTGATGGGAAAAACGCACCCGTCATCGTGTGGTTACAGGGTGGTCCCGGAGCGACTTCTCTGTATGGGTTATTTACTGAAAATGGGCCACTTAGAGTGCGCAATTTTAAATTTGAAAGAAGGAAATACAATTGGGCTTTGAATCACCATGTCATCTACATAGACAATCCAGTAGGTACCGGTTTCAGCTTTACTAATGACAGCAGGGGGTACTGTACTGATGAGACACAAGTAGGTGCCCAATTGTATTCTACTCTAGTTCAGTTCTTCCAACTCTTCCCAGAACTACAACCAAATAAGTTTTATGTGACAGGTGAGTCTTACGCTGGCAAATATGTTCCCGCACTTGCTTACACAATACACAAGATGAATCCATCAGCTAAAGTTAAAATCAACTTGAAAGGTATTGCAATTGGTAATGGTCTGAGTGATCCCGAACACCAACTTGTTTATGGAAAATATTTGAATCAAATTGGTCTAATAGACTTTAACCAAGCAAAGGTTTTTGAGGAATATGAGAAGAAGACTATTAATTTTATCAAGGAACAGAAGTATGATGATGCTTTCAAATCTTTTGATACATTGTTGAATGGTGATCTTATTGATGGGAAAAGTATTTTTACCAATATGACTGGTTTCAATTTCTACTTCAACTACCTACATACCAAAGATTATACTACATATGAAGATTTTGGGCCAATGATACAAAAATCTGCAGTCCGTAAATCTATACATGTTGGTAAAAAAACATTTAATACAGGAAAAGAAGTTGAGATGCATTTAAAACAGGATGTCATGAAATCTGTAGCTCCATGGATATCGGAACTCCTTGATCATTACGATGTAGTTATCTATAACGGTCAGCTTGATATTATTGTTGCATATCCGCTAACAGTCAACTACCTCAGAAATTTAAACTTTACTGGTGCAGATCTGTATAAAACAGCTAAAAGATATATCTGGAAGGTGGATGGTGAAGTTGCGGGCTATGTCAAGCAGGCAAACAAACTTATTGAAATTATGGTGAGGAATGCTGGACATATGGTGCCTGGAGATCAGCCAAAGTGGGCCCTGGACTTGATTACAAGGTTCACTCATGAGAAGACATTCTTTTCTAATAAAAATAATTAGCCTGTTTAGATAATAATTAAGTATTTAATTGATAAGTAGTATTAGGAAAGGAGTTTTTATTCTCTTATTGTTCTTAATACATATTTATCAAGATTGATGTCCTATTTTCATAAGTAACAACAGCATAGATAAGATCAGTACAGAGTTATTTTTTTATAAATAGAGACTTGTAGGTTGACACTAGTTTCCTTTGTCTTGCATCTCATTAATAATGAAATATTTTTATTTTGTTAACTGTACTGTTTTTCTAATGTTACTATTTTTTGTGAATCTTAATCCATTAAACTCTGAGATGTGTGAACAAAAATAAAATAGTTTTACATTTTAGTAAAGATTTTTTTTATTTGTCATATATAGAATAATATTGCTGATGAGGTGAAATTGTTTTAGCTGTCAAAGAACATCAAAGTTTTAAGATTTGTGCAGCAGAATTTAATCATTCAATGTTGCATTCATGCTCACACCCACCCAAAAATGAACTACCTATCCGAGGTAAAGTCAATATACTAAAACACATTACCAGATGATACCATTAACTTGAGTGTTGTTCTTTCGCTGTTGGGTTAATGGTATACCTATATCTTAGAATATTCAAACAAATCTACTGCATATCTAATTAACCTGCAATATCAGTATCACCAAAGATGGTAAAAGTGATGTCTGGATAACGTTGTCAGTGCTACACATATGTTGGAGTTTGCTCTTTGTTTTCTATAAAAATATGCAGAAGAGGAACTTACTTACTTAAAAATCAGCCAGTCTTTACTGATTGTTTTGTTGTCAGTACGTTATTATAGCCTGGAAAAAGGACTTTCACCATATTGTGCAACAGTTCCCTTATAAGCGAAAAAAACACCATCTTGTCGAGTTAATTGTTACTATTTAATTTGACTTTCCTCAAGGTGTCCTAAACATTTGTAGGTTAGAACAAAAAAAATAGAATTTATGTTCTATTTGTAAAGTACCTGTTGTGCAGTTTATGTGTAAACTGTTTTTTTTTTTAATTAAGAAAATTATATGAGTCAAGTACTCTATGACTTTTTAAACCAAATTGAGGGGGCTAAATGAAAATCAAAAATAACACAATAGCAAATTAGTTTTAATTAAACCTAGAGTTATCAAGAAATGTGCACTCAACAACAGCACACACTTAGTCATAATAATACACACTAGTGATATCCAAAATTTAATGGTACTATTTGAATGTCTTTATGTAAAAAAAATTAAGTTTTCAAAATTAATTACTTGTTTTTATCAACAAACATCAGTGTTAAATTCTTAAGTTTCTATTTAGTCTAGACATTCAAAATGTAAGATTTTTGTACATAAGGAATGGTGATTAGTCTATCGGCCTTCAATATAAGTAGACAGCTCAATTTCTTCCGGCAACTCTGTAATGTTGACATCAAAACGATCTTGAACTTCATTCAGAATCTTTGCATCACCCTCATCCGAAACCATGGTTATAGCTAAACCTTTGGTACCAAAACGGCCAGCTCGTGCCACACGGTGCAGGTAGGTGTCTGAATCCTCAGGCATGTCATAATTAAAGACAATGTTGACTCGTTCAATGTCCATTCCTCTGCCAAAAAGATTGGTTGCAACTAAAATCCTCTTTTGGAACTCCTTAAATTGCTGGTAGCGAGAGAGACGCTCATCCTGAGTCATGTTCCGGTGAATTCCAATAGCAGGGAAGTTCTGGTCTGTGAGTAATTGTGCTAGAGCTATACAGCGCTGGACAGTCTTCACAAATATTACAACTTGATTGAACTCCAATACATCAAGCAGTTCAAACAACTTCTTATTCTTCTCATTTTCCTTGAGCTTGACATAGTGTTGCTGCAGTCCATGCAGGGTTAGCTTGGCTTCGTCGTCCACATACACTTCCATGGGATCCTGCATAAACTTCTTGCATACTGGTCTGATATCCTTACTAAGAGTGGCTGAGAACATCATCACTTGTTTACCATGAGGAGTATTCCTGAATATCTCCTGTACATCGCGTCTCATATCTAGTGACTCAAGCATCTTATCACATTCATCTAGAATAAAGTGCTTCAAGTGTTTAAGATTAAGCTTCTTATTGTTCACTAGTGCTAAAATTCTGCCAGGGGTACCAACAACGATGTGAGGACAAGCAGTCTTCAATGTTTCTTCATCTTTCTGTATGGGCATTCCACCGAAAAATACAGATACCTTGACGCCAGCCATGTATTTTGAGAAACGTTCGTACTCTTTGCTGATTTGGAACGCCAATTCTCTAGTGTGGCACATGACGAGGACATAGACGTGGTTTTCAGATGGCTCCAGTTGTTGTAGAGTCGCCAAAACGAACACCGCTGTTTTACCCATTCCGGATTTCGCTTGACATAAGATATCCATACCGAGGACGGCTTGCGGAATGCATTCATGTTGGACTTCTGACGGATGCTCGAAACCACAGTCAACGATTGCTCGCAATATTTCTGGCTTCAACAAGAAATCCCTAAAGCCGGAACTGTGTATAGATACATAAGATCCTTTAACCTCTTTCTTTGGCGCCGCTTCAGTCGCCCCGTCAGCAGCCTGTTGGTCCGCCTGTTCTTCGTCTTCGTAGTCGAGAAGATCGTCGTTGTCAGCCATGATTTGTAGATGTAATTCTAATCTATATACTTAATTAAAGCAAGGCTTCGTACCAGCACGTGAAACTTATTTTGAAAATAATATTTCACGGCTATGGCGGCTGATTTTGGCGTCAATTTGTGCTTTTTTTTCGATCCTAATATATAGATAACGCTTAATCTGAATCACGGTCTTTTTAGCTTCCCTTGATAGAATTTTAAAAATGTAAGTGTTACCTAATCCAAAATATTAGGTAGCGATTTTTTTTATTTTTCACCTTAATTTTAGGAATAACATCAATTATTATAGTTCAGCAGTTCTGGAAGAGTATTTTAAGAGTGGGTGGCACCACGTGTTTTGTGTACATTTTTCATCTTCATATCGACAAGAACATCTCAGTATATTTTAAATTGTTTTTATTTATTTAACATGTTTGATATTTTTTTTGTTCAGAAGCTATTATAGAAAAAAATAGTAGGAACTAGCTGAAATTGTATTTTTCTATCCGCCCAAAACAAGATTTAAGTACTTACTTTTAGAAAGAAAATGTATTTTTAAGGAAATATATCCTCCCAAGTCAAGATTTAAGCAATTAGTTCAGAATTCGAGTACCATGCTCAATTTCTAGTCTTATTTCGTGTTTCCAAATAAAAAAATTTGAAAATCTGTACCCTGCCACTCTTCGCTGTGGGACATTGTGGTTGCATAAATGAGAATTATGATAAATGAGGAACAAAACTGAAGCGAAAAATAGATAAAAACAATCTTTGAAGCGGTATGTATACCGTGTTAAAAGGAGTTGTGCAGTATTGTTTTTTTTTTTTATTCTTGAAAATTCCAGTTGCCGTGAACCAAGTAGTTTGGGATAGATTTATAAGAGGTAATATTATAATTTATAAAATGAAGATTTAAATAACTGCAGTTCTGAGAAACATTGTTTTTACTTTGGCATATTTTTGGGCGGCGTGACAGATGGATTACAGTGGGTTTCTATGCGCTTGCTGACATTTTAATTTGTTAGCATTTTTTATGTTTACTTTGAGCATGTTATGAAGAATTGTGAGATTTCTATGATTATAAAGAGAAATTAAATATGTGATTAAAGAATATTATAAAGTAACTACATTTAATATTGCCATCCTTCAATAAAAACCTCTACTAACATAAAATAACTTTGTTTTTCTTTTAAATGTACTATTTAAAAATAGTTATCTAAGTAATTCCTAATTTTCGATGCTATTGAGGTATAATGGTTTTATTCGGAATAAAAAAACTAATGTCCATAAAAAAGTGGACAGTTCTTTAAGTTCAATCGGTGCTGAAGTTTTTGCAAAACAATTGAATATTTTTATATGTAGATTATCGTAGCAAGTTATTAAAAAATAAATTGTAAACCTTATTTTTTGTGTATTAAGTGTTTGTCAAGTATATCAGATACTGTAATTGATATTCAGGTTTTGTGATAGCCAAAGTTGTCAGAAGCTTGGGATGAAATTGCAATAATATTGTACTCACTCACTGCTCTATTTTTACTACTTACGTGAACCAGAGTTGCGAAATTCGATCAAAACTCATCAAGTAATATTCAACTCAACTGCTCACTCTGTTTCAGCTAATGTAACGCTACAAATTCGGACGCGTCGCACGGTATTGATGAAAAACAACAAGAGCAGGGGAGCTTGATTTTAGATATTAGAGAACTTAATTCTTCAATCTAGGTCAATCAGAAAATTGAATAACTACCTATTAATTGTAAACTGCTAAGAAGTCGGTTCCTATTTACTTCATCAACAGCCTTTAGAATAAACTGCTGGACATAAGCCTCTCCTTAGAAAGGAGGTTTGGGCCTACTATACCACGCTGGCTTGACGGGTTGGTCTATACCAACCCGTCTAGCGTCTAGGTTTGTGTCAAGTTTTCCTTCTCTCTGCAGTGCTGTTGTTCTGCGTAGTTTTTTCCCATGATCGTTCTTACGACACCCACGAGATAAATAGGGTTGGTGACACTGTGTATTCTTAATCCGTCAATACACCACATTTACTTATTTATTTACGCCAATTCAACTTAGGTAGGTTAGTTATAGGTCTGTCCCAGGTTTCGAGTAACTTGGGTACTCTACTGTTTTTGTGAATTGTATGAGTATTACCTGGTGGAACAGTTACAGAGTTCCATTAGCGAACTTGTAAGTCTTCTAACACATCTTATGGGGTGGATTATTGAAATATTATTATAACAGATTTAATTTTAATACTGTCCTACCCAAAGTCGTGTAAATATTTGATAAATTAATAACATAAGAAATACACAATAATTAATGAAAATTTATTCAACGATGAAACATGTCAACGGTTATTTTGAGATTCAATTAAAAAAAAACAGTAGTAGTGGCAAGGGAAATAAAACAATTAAATATTCTAATATTTTAATTCTATTTAAAAACACTAAAACTTATTGCATTGAATTAGACAGTTATATATTTATGATTTGCCTACAAAATCAAATACGGTAACCATTGCTGCAATTAATTCGAGGCAATATACGGTGGTCAAGTTACTTTTTTGCGTCTCTATTTCTATATCATTGTTGAACATTAAATAAAGATGGCGCTACTAGTACACAGGTCAGTAAAAACGCCAACTACTTTGTCGGTCTTAGATAAACTTTTTATGGAGAGCACATCAGCGCGGCCGGTCATGAAACAGCACATTTTTGTTCCATTGTCCCTCTTATTTCGATAATTGTTGGTAAGAGACCACTTTTCTCGCATTTAATTACTTTTAATCTATTTCTTCTTCTGTGCTTTTCGTTTTTCCATCTCATTTAAGTGAAACGTATTTTTTTTTCTCTGCCTGTTTTTAACTTCCAACCGTAGTGTTCGATTCATTAAACCTATAATTGGTCAGTTGCCGTTTAATTTTGTAGGATAGGAAACAATATATGTAATAATTTGTAGATAAAACGAATAAATGTATGACGAGATACCGAATGTCCGGCAACATCGAAACCACATTTTGTATCGCAACAAATTCAATAAATTAAAATGCAGAAAATGTTGACAATATTTTTACGTAATTTGAATAGATTAGATAAATTTGTTATATCCGGTTTTCGGTCGGAGACTTGCTCCAGTTTACATCCAAATAGTAAATTTGGTCCGAATACCGGATAGTGAACGGATAATCGTATGCGCAGAGAAAAGAGTCCGTTACAAATCGGGGAGACAAAATGTATATTTATAATTACCATTTATTTCATTTTGGTTTGGTGAATATTTACTGTATAATTATTTTAATTTTGTTCTAATAACAATTTATTTCTAGTATTAATCATCAACAGATTTAATAGTCCACTGCTGGCCTCTCCTTAGAAAAAAGGTTTTGGCCTACTATTATATACCACGCTGGCCAGACGGGTTGGTATCGGGTTTGTGTCAAGTTTTCCTTCTCTTTGTAGTGCTGTTGTCCTGCGTAATTTGCTCCCTCAGTCGTCTCTTACGACACCCATATAAATAGGGGTTGTGACAAACCGTATTCTTAATCCATCACCACACGGATAACATTTCAAGTATTACGTTTTATTAATAATAGAAAACTACTGACTGCATAAAAAGATTTTTATAAATATTTTAACAGAATGGAAACTTTTATAAGTTATTTATCCTAGAGATTGACAGGCAAAAATTTTGTCAAAAGAAATTTTATAATTAATTTATTGACGGGCCGAAAATCGGAATTTCAACTTGAGAGTAAGATTATTGGAGAATAATTCCAGGTTCCCGGGGAAATTTGGTACTCAATCCCGGCAGCGGATTCCTAATTCCCAGGAAGGGGGTGGGGATTTCTGTTTTATATTCAATCCCGGTAACGGTAGCAAAAGTCACTTACAGTTGACCCGTCTGCTCATTTCCAGCCATTTGCAAATTAAAATAAACTTTTATAACTTCCGTATTTTCTGTTTGTAAAGCCAATGTAAACCTCTTTTACTACAGGAAATAAACATTGTAAAAAAAGCCTTTCCAATCGTGATATTATTTGCTAAAGGTTTAACTACTGGTATTCTCGTCCCTAACACTTCTCACTATACGGCTTTAAGGGTTTAAAATCTGCGTTTCCACTCAGGTACGAGTCCACAAAGTTCTGTACAGAATCTGTGGTGATCTCATCACCGTACTTCATGGTCACCAGCTTCTGTTTCGGGAAGTCTATGGAGGTAAGAAGAGGTACAGCATCGTCCAGGCCTATGTGTTCCCTGAGCATGTCTGCGCTGTCAGTCCCATCTATTCCAATGTAGAACATGACGTGTTTAAAAGGTTTCTTCTTCATCCTGGAGTGTCGTGATGTTGAGTAGTCGAAGTCCATGGTTTCGTCGTCCGAAGAGTTCTGGTACGGGCAAAAGCCTGGATATTGGATGCTACACTCTTCGTAGTAAGATTCTGCGGACGCAGTCAGGACTGATTCGGCAAACTCTATTTCTGAATCTTCATCGTCTGAGAATAAACAAAATTGATTTTTAAAGATTCTTTGAAAAGTAATAAAAAAAATCTGTTATGATGACTGACTTCTTGGTTTGGTTAGTGATCTTGACTACTAAGCTAGAGGTCGTAGGTTCGACTTCTACTCAGAACAAATAGTTGTGTGATTAGCACGAACATTGTTCTGTAATTAGGTAATAACTACCTGCGGGGTACTGCACGTATGGAGTAGTGGTTTAAGCGGTCACCTCGCCGCTTCGATCGATCCCCACATGGGACAACACTTTGTGTGATCCACAAATTGTTGTTCTCAGTCTGGGTGTTCTTAGTGTCCGTTTCATGCATGTTTGTGTCAACTCAACGGAATCGATTCAACAGAATAAATACTGACTGTAAAGTCAGGATTTATTCCTAGTGCGGGAGTTATCTTTTTTTTTTAAACAAAGGGGCGTGGAGGTAGTACGAGAATGGGGACCGGGAGGGGTACGAGCGGAGGGCACTCGTAGCATGGTAAGAATGCGCGAGGACTCAATTAAGTGTATTTTTCTATGTATGAAAGTATTTGTTGTTTGGACGTCACTGCTATGATTTGAGAAACTAGGACTGATCTAATGATAAACCCAGAAATTTAGACGGGCCTGTTGATCTAGTGGTTGGTGACTCTGACTGCTAAGCTGGAGGTCGTGGGTTCGATTCCCACACAGGACAAATATTGTGTAAAGAGCACGATCGTAAAGTATTACTAAGACTAGCAGATGACCGATTAAATTTTCGGTTGTGAATGTTTAATACTTCGAAAATACCTTTTATGACAGTTATGGGATCGAAAGTTGATCGGAACTGAATTGTGACCGAACTTTTATTACGAGAATTGGCCTTCAGACTGCCGTGTGTGAGATGTTTGAAGTTATTATTATTTTTATTGGTAGTCCAACTCCTTTAGACTCTATTGTTAAACCCAGAAGTTCTCGTTTTTTTTTTAAATTTATTATCTCGTGTTGTTAGTATAATTGCAAACTTGTTATGTATTTATTTCAATTAATGTGTTTTCTTACCAATGAAAAGAACCACAGCTGGGTGGCGAGCCATCTTCAACAGAGCTTGTTCTGTCAGCACTGACACCGGTCGCTGTGCCCACGGGAAGTTCTGCAAGATTGAGATATGAGAATTCGTTAGCAATAAATTAATTATGGCATAGAAACGTACTTATATTTTTGGTATCCGTATGAAGACAAGACATCTTGCCGATTTTTGAATACTATTGTATTTGTATGAGGAGAAAATATTTATGCCTAATGACAGAACACAATTACAATTCAAGGTAACTCAGTTTTAACATTTTAAAATATAAATATTTCACTTTAATTTTCAAATATATCTTAAAACTATCTATTTAATGAAGCATTAAAAGATAGTGAGAAAAACTCAAGCTAGATCAAATCGGTGGAGTGACTGATTTGGAATACAGAGTGTCACCACCCATATTCATTCCGTAGGTGTTGTAAGAGTTGACTAAGGGAGCGCACTACGCAGGACAACAGCACTGCAAAGAGAAAGAAAACTTGAAACGAACCCTACACCAAAACCCGTCTGGCCAGCGTGGTGTAGCAAGCCAAATAACTCCTTTCTAAGGAGAGGCCTATGCCCAGCAGAGGATTACTAAAGCCTCCTTAAAGTCGAACTCCTTAATGTTTCTTTTTTAATTTGTGTCATATTAATAGAAGGAATTTATAGGAACTTTGACTTGATCCGTTCTGCCCCAGACTCCAAGGCAACGATATGTGGAAGATTTCTCACGCCCGCAATTAACGTAAATGGGTCACAATATAGAATTACAGTAGTAATTAGGACATCCATTTTCATTATTGTATCTCGTTCAAATAACTGATACGCGTCGTAACTTTTGGCCTCTGAGTAGATGCTACTTTTTCATTGCAGTTATAATTAATTTCAGCTGAAATGTCGAATGTCACTTTGTCATCTGATGTGGTTATGTTTTTGTAGGGTGGCGTACAAGTTTTCAAAATCACTTATGTTGTGGTTTCACCATCTTTATTTATCTTTTATATTCTAGGACTTTTAAATAGTCCACTGCTGCACTTAGGCATCTCCTGAAAAAGGTGGTTTTGGCCTACAATAACACGCCTGGCTAGATGGGTTGTATAGGATTTGTGTCAAGTTTTCCTTCTCTTTGCAGTGCTTTTGTCCTGCGTAATTTGCTGCCTCGGCTGGCTCTTACGACATCCACGGGATGAATAGTGGATACACTCCGTATTCTTAATACGTCAACACACGGATAATAATAATAATAAAAATAATATAATATTCTGCCACATACACACAACGCCATTTAGTCCCAAACTAAGCATAGCTTGTACCATGGGTACTAGACAACTGATATAAATACATTTATACTTTTTTTTGTTTAAACATACATATTATACATAGAAACACCTAGACCAAATCAAAAATCAAATGTTCATGCACACAAATGTTTGACTTGAGCGGGAATCGAACCCGCGACCTTTGGAATAGCAGTCCGTTACACAAACCACTACGCCATCCGTCGTCAAACGGAAGCTTTGCCGCCCAATCATGAAAAATGCCAAGCAACAAATTTAGTTTTTTTTAAGTTATTTACCTCAAACACTGGAGAGATTATTACGTACACACAAAATATTATTAAGTTTCTGCCTTGGTTCCAAAAAATCTTAGATCAGGGGCTGCACCTGAGGGCCTAATGTAAGTTTAATTCACATCGACATGATTAGTTTAGTTCGGGCTAATCATTACGCCAAACGCGGTCACCGTGACAATCGAGTAAAAGTGAAATAAACTCTCTGTTGGGATGGGTTCACTTGGTTGGTTCCGAACGAGCTACCGCTTGATCTAAATCTAACATCTTAGTTACTGGTTTGTTTATTTATGTAACTTAAATTTCTTTTACTTTTCATAATCAGCAGTCATCTTGGCATTGGCGGAGGTAAGCAACCGATATTCGTTATAAAAACTTCACGCAGCGACAAGAATCGCAGCGAAGGAAAAACAGTACAAGTTCGTGTGGATACGTAACGGGCGCATATTTGTTAGAAAAGACGACACATCCAAATCATTATTAGTTAGAAATTTAGAATTTTTAGATACTTTATAATTTTCTGTCCATATTTCTAAGCAAGTCTGGAATGTAAACTGAAACAAAATTCAAATTCAAAATGTATTATCAAAATGTAAGAGGCTTAAGAACCAAGACTGCTGATTTTTATAGTGCTGCATGTTTTGATTACGACGTAATTATTGCGACGGAGAGTTGGCTTAACGATACGGTAATGAACCATGAACTATTAGATAACCGCTACAAATTATTTAGGCGCGACAGGTCATCTACGGTTTCTTTTAAAACTAAAAAGGATGGTGGGGGAGTGATGATTGCAGTGTTGGGTAAGTATGAAGTCACTCGAAGATTAAATTGGGAGTCGCAGTGTGAGGAGTTGTGGATTACATTACGGTGCGAGAATGGCTTGAACATCAATATTTGTGCAGTATATATTCCACCTTTAGTTGGACAGGACTGTATTGATTCTCTTATTAACAATATTACTGAAGTCATAAATGTAAAAAAAAATCCATAAACTTAGTAATAGGTGACTTTAACATGGGGGGCATTAGCTGGGAGTATGAAATAGACTCTGGTCAGATCGTCCCCAAGGGATCAAGTTGTAATCAAGAAAATGATCTTTTGGACATGCTAGCTTTTAGTGATCTTTATCAATGTAACAACGTACTTAATGCTTCTAATCGCATATTGGATTTAGTCCTTAGTAGCAGAAATAATGCAGTATCCGTGTCCCAAGTAACTCCACTCGTAACTATTGACCAACACCACCCAGCACTGGAAATTGTGTTTGCCACAAATCAAAGTAGTAATCCTCTGGTACATAAAAAAACTCCGTACTTGAATTATTACATGTGCGATTATGACACTGTCAATTCGGAATTATCAAAAATTAATTGGTTAGAGGAATGGAAGGATAGTAGGGATGTCAATGAAATGTTGGTTATATTTTATGATAATATTATGCCAATTATTAAACAGCATACACCGGTTACTAAACCACGTGACGAACTCTATCCCGCTTGGTACAGTAGAGCTTTATTAAGAATTATCAAAGAAAAAGCTAAGTATCTCAAATTATACAAAAAGTACGGGAACCCACGTGATCAAATAACATATGAATGCTTGAGAAAGAGGTGCAGCGCAGTAATAAAGGAATGTTTCTCAAATTTTAAAAAGATATTGTTATACATCTGCATCGCAATCCCAAGCATGTATGGAAATACTTAAAGAACAAACGAACAAGTATCAATTTTATACCAAATAAAATGTATTTAAACGACAACCGTCAAGCCAGAGGTGGTCAAGAAATTAGTAATTTGTTTTCGAACTATTTTCAATACATTTATCAAACGAACAGTAACATTGGTATTTTAAATTCTACAACACCAGAGAATAATAATAAAATCACATTGGGTGCGTGTACAACAACTGTAGAAGAAGTCTACAAGTACTTGTCTTCTTTGAATTGTGATAAGGGTCCCGGGCCTGATTCAATACCTCCACTCTTCCTAAGAAAATGTGCAGATAATCTGTCTGAGCCACTGACTTCTCTATTCAATTGTTCACTGTCACAGGGTTGTTTCCCCGATAAGTGGAAAGTGGCATACATCACGCCTATTTTTAAGTCTGGTTGTTGCGAAAATGTAGCAAATTATAGACCAGTATCTATCTTATCGGCATGTGGCAAGATTCTTGAATCGCTGGTTCAAAAGAAAATATTCGCTTATCTCAAAGTCATGTTAGATGATAACCAGCACGGTTTCCGTCCCAATAAGTCAACATCATCTAACTTGGTTGAATTTGTATCACATGTATCGAACGCGTTGGATACCGGTAGAGAAGTTCATGCTATATACACTGATTTTAAAAAGGCGTTCGATCTAGTCAATCACGATTTGCTTCTTGTGAAACTGGAGAGAATGGGAATTCACGGATCATTTCTGCGTTGGTGTGAGTCTTATTTAAGAAATCGATCACAACTGGTCCGGTTGAAGGGTTTTAATTCGAAGGGATGCTATATAACAACGGGAGTGCCTCAAGGATCCCATCTGGGTCCTTTATTCTTTCTAGTCTTCATAAACGATTTAGGCAGTAAGATTAATTCCAAATATAAACTTTTTGCAGATGACTTAAAAATATATAGGACTATATACAGTGATTCTGATGTTATTGAACTTCAATCAGATATAAATAATACATACGAATGGTGTGTTCTAAACGGTATGACGTTAAATCACAGCAAGTGCTATTTCATCAAATTTAGCAGAAAAAGGAATCAATACTCAACTCATTATTTAATTAATAACTGCTTATTGCAAGAGGTTAATAATATTAGAGATCTAGGTATTCTGATTGATAGTAGCCTAAATTTTAAAAATCATTATGACTATATAATCAACAGGGCATCAAAATTAACAGGCTTCATAGTAACAGAAATGAAAATTTTTAGAGAACCGAACCTTACAATTTTTATTTATAATAGTTTTATTAGAAGTATTTTAGAATACTGTAGCATAGCCTGGAATCCGTTCTATCAAGTACATAGTGATAGAATCGAACGAGTCCAGAAAAGATTTCTACACAATTTATGTTACTTAGAGCACAAATGCCATTATTACAACTCCTATGAATCTAGGCTGCATCACTACAACATGACGAAATTAAGTTCACGTAGGAATGTCTTAGATGTATTGTTTTTATATAAGTTAATCCATGGTCAAGTTGACTCTCCCGAGCTGTTAGGAATGGTCAGTATTTGCATTCCTCGAGTTGGTAGTCGTTTAGTCAACAGATCTACGTTTGTTGTACCCCACTACCGCACCAACATAGGTCATTCCTCGCCCATGACTCGTATGCCTTGTTTCGCCAACTCCCTCCGTAACGGACTGGATATTTTTGCTGGTTCTGTGGTTTCAGTCAGGTCCAAACTAAGAAAGTTGATCGAATGATTTAGTATTATAATTTTAATGTTGTATAATTTTAAATATTAAGTAGTAGATATGTCTTTTATCTACTAACTACCTTGTTTTAG